GGCTCAGAGAAGTGATGCCGTGAGCCCTAGGCCACACAGCACAAACACGGTGGACTAAACTCAGGGCTCCTGATTGGTTCTGTGCTGTTTCCATGCGTGCTGCATCAGTGCATTCCTGATCCTGGCCAGAGACCTCCAAATTGACCACTCCAAGAGTCAAGTTTTCTTCCTCCTCTAGTGGAACTGCTGTTAGACTGAAACCCCTTCTAAGGGCAGCTGCTCCAACTTCACAACGCCTTCCTTGCACTGCACACACGGTTTACCTACACAGCCTCAAAGCTCCCTCTGGGTCGAGAACTGCCACTTGCTGAGGGCTCTGCTAGGTGGTTTACTGGTACTATCTCATTTAGGCCGCCTAAAACCTTTTACACTGGTGGTAGCTGAGGTACTGAGAGGGGAAGGAACTTGTCTAGCGTCACAGGGCCGGCGAAGCAGAACAACGTGGTGACTCAGGCAGGCGAGGCCTGAGGCCTGTGCTCTGCTTTATTCTTTTTTTTTTTTTTTTTTTTTTTAAGATTTTATTCATCTGACGGAGAGAGAGAGACCACAAGTAGGCAGAGAGGCAGGCAGAGAGAGGGGGAAGCAGGCTCCTTGCTAAGCAGAGAGCTTGATGCGGGGCTCGATCCCAGGACCCTGATATCATGACCTGAGCCGAAGTCAGAGGCTTTAACCCACGGAGCCACCCCGGTGCCCCTGCTTTATTCTTATCTGTAGGGGTAGCACTTTGCATCCTATGTCTTAGATTGGAGAAATGCAATGAATACTGGAGTCACCATTACGTGCAAAGAGCTACACATTGGGTTCCGGCTTCACTATGGTCATGCTACGGTCATGCTTACAGTGTAGCTGAGAGATAAAATTGTAAACAACCGATCACACAAGATGCTTATTACAGCAGAGGAAAATTCTATGAAGGAGAGGTCGGAAAGCTTGCTGAGAAGGTAAGAAGAATCTCACTTAATCCAAAGAATAGGAAGCACATGAAGAACAATTACGAGAGGGCCAGGCCGGATGGCGGCAGGATATGAGCAGGCAGATGTGATGGAAGGAGGAAGGCCGGAGCTGAGTCATGTGTACACTTGCTCCGTACCCTTACTTGGTTAGGCACCATTTTCTCTTTCGTCTTCTACATTCACTAGATCTGGGGTCAGCAAACTATGGTCGGCCACCTGTTTTGATAATAAAATGTTACTGCAACTCAGCTGCATTTTTCTGTTTCCATACTGTCTAAGGCTGCTTTTGGAATATGGCAGAGGCATTTTGGCAGGGACCATTGGCCCACAAAGCCGAAATTATTAACTAGATAGTATTGTGCAAAGGGTTTGCCAATCCCAGCCCTGTAGCAACATCCACAGTACTTCATACACAGGAGACATTCAGGCATTTTTAAAAATTATACTTGTTTTCACTCTACTTCTATGAAGTGTTTAAGGGAATTATAGTAAATAGGTGGTTGAAAAACAGCCACAAAGGACCACATATTGTATGATTCCATGTACATTCAGATCTGTGCTGGCCTGGGGCCAGTGGAAGGAGAGAGGGTGGAGGAGAAAAAGATGACTAAGGCTTTTATTTGGGGGTGATGACAATGTTTTAAAATTGATTGTGGTGATGGAGACACAGATCTGTAAATATGCTAAAAATCACTAAATGATTTATACTTGTGATAGATGAGTTGCATGGTATGTGAATTATTAAAAAAAAAAAAAGGCACCAAACAACTAATGCTAAATGACAGAGCTCATAGAAACTATAAGTACAGCAATTACTGTTTCTTATGTTTACTCTTAAGGAAAAGCCAACAGGTCAGAAATGCCTTGGCCAATTGTCTTGGCCATTATCGACCGAAAGGATCTTCAGGGATAAAGAAAATGTTCTGTAACCACAGTGCCCAATAAAGTAGCTATTATCCTCATATGGTTATTAAGCCCTAGAAATGGGACTAGCACAACTGACTGTAATCAAAATTCAACTGTAATTTAATTGCATCCTATTTCAGTTAATTTAAATAGCCACGGGTAGCTAATGACTGCTATATTAAACTGAGAAGGTGTAGAAAGCACGGGCAGGGTACTAGAGCATTATCCACTGTGGAGACCTAAGAAAAACTAAACAGATCTTGTTGCCCTAAAAAGATGACAATTCCTAGTAACAGTCAGTTTAAAAATTCAACACAAAACACATTTATTTTGTATTCAGAATGGTCCAAGCTAATTCACTAGTGACAGGAAGGTGGCTCAAAGTTATGCATTCTATTTGTATGCAATAGGTTTATTATCAGTAAATCTTTCTTTTCTTTCTCCTGTTTCTGTTAGCTGGGTAACTGTTCACCTGAAAATACGATCTTCAAAAATAACCTTTCCCTTCCCACAAGAGCACCAAAATAACATTTAGAAATATCGAAAGGCACAACTAAGTTGTGTTCTGCTTTAGTATATCAGTGTGAGAAAATGTAGGAAGAGGGAAGAGGGGTGAATGGGACTGACCCACAGAAATCTGATGCTTGAGCAGGCAGCTCATAGTTGAAGATGGATGTGGGGGACAGTCACCTGGTGTGTGTACTCTTGAAGAGCTGATAAACAAGGAAATGGAAGATAAATGTGATGGTTGAGTGTCATTTAGGAGAGGCCTCAGAGAGACTATGAATTTATTAATCTGGCACCAGCCAGATTAAGCTCTAGAACCAGCCATCTGGTTTACTTTGGAACAAGGCAATCAAAAATGGACAGCACATCTATAAAAATCTACATCTGTGTATGACGAGACTCCACTAGAGTAGAAACATATGAGCATTTTAGTGACTACAGTGCAAAGTAGGCATATCCAAAAACATTTAATTGATTCAAACTTTACTAATGTGTCTTTGGAAAGATAAATAACATCTAGAAAATCCTCACTTGGACAGCAGAAAAGTTATAAATAAACATGACTTCGAGGAGAAAGCACCTGACTCATTTGATGTGAAGTTGGCTAATGACTGGACATGACACTTAAGCTAGCATCTTACGAATAGACTCTATTAAATTAAAAACATCTTTGACACAGTGTATCCCCCATATTCCATACCCCTGAGCCACTAAAGATTAGAAAAGAACACTAACTAGTTTAGCTGGATTGTCCATGCCAATGCAAGCCAACCCGTGAGTCACAATCTAACCAAAAAAATCCAAGGATGTTTACCAACTGGGCGGCTTCCTTAAGAAGGGTATTTATAGCACAAAGAGCTTCGATTTGTCTTTCTGAAATAAGATTTGGTTATCACAGACTGAGAAATGAGGCTACACATAGCAAATGGGGTTCTGTTACCATCGCTTTGTAGTACCTTTACCATGGCATTTAGCTTGTCACTTTACTTGATGTCTTTGCATGTCTAGATATCCACCATGAACTCCTCAAGGAAAGGGGCTTCTGTCTTTGTAGCCTCAAAATATCTCAGAGCTGCTATGAGCCCTTTACAAAGGATGGGGAAATTAGATAGTTGAAATAATTACAGAACCTAGTTTCCTTTAGATCAGGGACAAGGAATTCATAGACTTGGCAGACAGGAGAATGTAGTGCTCCCAAGCATGGCTTCTAGAATCATAGAGTGCAGGCTCTGCCACTCAGCACGTGTGTAACCATGGGCAAACCTGAGCCTCAGCCTCTGCATCTGGAAAATGGGTATAACAATAATGCCCACCTCAAATGGTGTTATGAACAACATAGGAGAAGATGCATATGAAGCTTGTGGCATGGTCAGTGGCACAAACCAAGGGCTCAGTAAGTGTCAGCTAACACAGTGCTGTTTGATAAACATTTTAAAAATTGGTAAACATTTACTCCATTTTTGCTTCATTATTTTTAAAATATTTCATTATTTTTAAAATAAAAAAAAATAATCTCATCTTCTTCCTAAATCAGCTCCTCTCTGAAACTCCCTTAGAGAACAAAAAATATGCTAGGTATTTTCAACATCAACACATGCAATTGCCATGCCCCTATGCAATTATTGTGGGCACACGGTATTCAAAGGGCACTATTTCATTTGTGCTAAGGAAAAGAACCCAGACTTTAAGAGTGTATTGTCAGTTAGCTCCAAACAGCTATGAATCAGAAGCATTCAAAACATTTGAACTGTTCTAACTGCCATACAAAAGAATGTGCGTTCAGATATTCAAGTATTCATTCATTCATTCAAATATTTTTGGAGCCCAAACTGCATTCAGGCACCGCTCTTGGTGCTCATGATATATGGTGACTAGAATGCACAAGGATGTCCACTGCCCTTGTGGAGACTACATTACTATGTGAAACCAAGTTCACCTAAAATAAAGCATTTACGTCGGCATTCCCTTTATATCAAATAACATAGTGTTTCATTCGCTCTATCAGACTTGTGTAATGCTCATAAAGACCCTTATATATTTTTTCTTTCTTTACTTTTACCTCTTTTCCTCAGCCTGACCTTCTGCAACAGAAACCGAATATAATATTCCTCTCAAATACAAGGCAGACACTTAGTTACTAAAGCTAAAAACAAAATTGCAGTAATACAGATTATTTCTACAACTATGCCGAGTGGCAATAATTAGCTTTATTCCCACACTCGGCTAGCCAGAAATACAGTAGGAATGTGATTTTCTATATATACTTTTTTTTTTTTTCCCCTACCGTGGATAAAAATGCCCTCCCTGGATACTAGTCAGCAGTTTTACCTCCTTCCTCATAGAACCCTGAATACCCATGCAGCCCTGAAATCAAGAATTCTCTTTTGGGAATGGGTTTTGTTTGGCTATGACTTTCTCTCTTTCAGCTAAATGCAAACACCACTGAGTTTATTAATCAAGAAGGAGAATTTCAAAGTTAATGAAGGTGACATTTACGAGAAAAGCATAAACTAAAATGGTGGGATGACGAGCACAGACAGAGATTCATTGGATTATCTTCAGCTGCAATGAAAGGTGGACTGAATGCTTTAAAATGCTGCACACACGTGTCCTGTTGAACAGGATCCTTTTTACCTGGCTGCCATGAGATCCAAGAGATGCTGCCACCGGTCGTTGACCTTTCCGAGCTTGTATTCAATCTCAGAGGCTTTGCTTTCATGGCTGGCTCGAGCAAGTCGTTCTCCCATTTGCTGGAGCTGTATTTTGTTCTCTTGGGCAACAGCAATTTCCTCTTGATAATCCTGCATAATAAATAGCAATCACAGAGATCAGAAATCATATTTTTAATGCATTCAGCCCGACTCCGCTAGAAACATGATTATTACCGTTTTGTATTGCTTGGAATAGTTTGGGCATGAGGAATGCTGTGTGAGTATCAGTCCATGTACACAAGAATTAGGGGTACCTATTATTTTCGGGATGTGCACAGACTCTAGATTGAATTTTCATAGAACTTTTCTTAAAGAGAATGGAAATATTTTTATTTACTTAAAATGGGCATTAAGAAATCAGTAACAGTGTATACACAGATAAAAAGATGAAACTTGAAGGGTTTTAATACTGAGAAATTACACCTTATTATTATAATCACCAACCTGGGTGCTACATTTAGAATCAATCCTCATACAAATACTTGCTAAGAGGCTTAGAAGTTGTGTGTATGTGTGCGCGTGTGTGTGCACAATTACGTATGTGCAACTGACATATATGTGTATTTATATGTAAATGTATAGATGTGCTTCTGTCAATCACTTGTGCAGAATGCTTTAGAAACGAATACCTTCATTTTAATGAGCTATCCTCTATGCAGTGTCAATATTTTATAACAGATTAATGGCGAACTAGCTCGCAAGAATAATAACCATTAGTCTTGGGATTAATAGGTCTCAACCTTTTTCATTTACCAAGTTGCTGTACTCACTTCTCTTAAAGATTGTTTTGGATAAGGAAACACTGGCTCCATATGCAAGAGAAATGCCACTGAACGGCATGGTTTAAGTGATGATGAATGGACATCTATCTTCCCCAACCCTCACCGCCTCACCAATGATCCTCTCACTCCCGCCACAGTGACAGAAGCCAATCTTTAGAATTGCCTTTCCTTCATTTTTTGGGCTTAACTCCTGTCATGCAGCCAATATTATCTCAACAAAATAATACAAAGACAGATTACAGGGTCATGGATATTTTAACCCTCCCCTGCTCTAAAGTTAGTGTGGCAACAGGGATATCCTCTCAAGTCAGTTATCAAAGCAAGAAAGACCCCCCCCCATTCCTGCCCCTGAAATGGGAGAAGCCAGTGCAGTTCTATCCTATCTCAGTGCCGAGTGCTCTCTTTCAGCCCAAGCAACCCCACCCCATCTACTCTCATTTTATGTTATTTCAACACAGAGGGGTTGTATGACCGATACACTAGATGTCCTGACCCCACAGAGTCAAGCTCATAAACACTTCTTCTGAAATCTCATAACTCATTTTATACACAAAATAGCATAGCTAATACTTTAAAGATTATTTCTGACATTGTGCCAAATCGCATAACAAAATTATGTGAAAAACTAAAATTTTTCTAAATTTTCAGTTGTGATTGTATTTTGTCCAAGAGACAGTTTTTTCCACACCCCAAAATGTAGATCCTAAATTTCATGAAGAAAGTCAATGAGAATATAGATACACTTAAGAAAGACTGATTCTATAGCAAGCTTCACTATAATACCTACAGTCCATTAATCATGTCCAGTGGAGCATTCTCTGATATCCAGAAACTATCAAAGTGCAAAGCTATTGGCAGATATTAAAATGAAATGTTTTCTCTTAGTTCACATTTCAAAGGTTTACAATATCAAATATAAAAATGCTCATTGCTAGAATTTGACATTTTAAGTAGAAAGCCTTAGAGCTATTAATATTGCATGTTTACACTGGAGTTTTTTTCCTTTATGTATATGCATGGACGATTCTTCCTAATAATTATTTGCATTTATTTTAGAGTGAATGAGGCTATAATTCGTTTATTCAGTATTCAGGAATGACTTAGTACTTATGAGAAGACAGGCATTGCTCTGGGCACAGGAGACACAGCAATGAATAAAACAGACAAAGACATTTCTAGAAAAGCTGACAACCCAGTGGGGCTTCCACTGTAGACAAAGAACCAACAAGTAAATAGGGAAAGTACGTTGTGAACCAGATAGTGATGTGTGCTAACAAGGAACACAAACTGAAATAAATCAATATGATCAATAATTATTCAAAAATAATGTGGAAGCATCACTGATACTATCCAAAACATTTTTTCTTTTTTTTTCAAAACATTTTAATTTATTTTTATTTCATTTTTAAAAAGATTTTACTTATTTGTCAGAGAAAGAGAGAGAGAGCACAAGCGAGGGGAAAGGCCGGCAGAGGGAGAAGCAGGTTTCCCGCCGAGCAAGAAACCTGATGCCACACAGGGCTTGATTCCAGAACACTGGGATCACGACCTCAGCCAAAGGCAGAAGCTTACCAACTGAGCCACCCAGGTGCCCCATCAAAAATATTTTTAAATGCTAATAAATTTGGTCACAAGCCCTACACAGACATGAAAAATATTCTGTAACCATATGAATATATGAAGCAATTTAATAGTCATACATAACTTGAAAAAAATACGAAGCAAAATTCTCAGGAAATTTTCCTTTTTTTCAAAGATTTATTAGAGAGAGAGCATGAGTGGGTAGATGGGCAGAGGGAAAGAGTGGGAGGGAGAGGGACAAGCAGACTCCACCCCGAGAAAAAGCCCAATGCAGGGCTCATCCCATGACCCTGGGATCCCGACCCAAGCTGAAATCTAGAGTCTAACATTCAACCACTCCACGGACTGAGCTATCCAGGAGCCTCGGAAAAGTAATCATTCTTGTAACTGTCCATGCGTTCTGTTTTACAGAGAAAAATGTCAGCTTAATTAATCCTCAGAATTCTTTCTTTTAGTCCCACTCTAGTGATTTTACTTCTCTAAAACCGAAAACAAAAGACACAAAAGAAAACTAATACACATAAACAATTCCTTCTGGACAGGTATCTAAAACCGGTACACACCGAACATTTATCAGCGGATAATTTACTTCAGCATATCCATATATATTGTGTGCAAAGGAGGCCTTTGCATGCAAGTTTATTTCATATTAAAAAGAGAAAACATTTAAAATATAGTGCTTTTACAGGACAGGAATTTAATAGTTTAATAATAAGTAAAGCCATCTTTTATACCTGTTAAAAGTATGCCTACGTGTTACGAATGGCGAAAACATACATAGCCTCGCATTCTGTACCTTCTTGAGCTTCTCTATCATTTCTTCAATGAGGATGTCTCCATTCTGAGAAACTTTACTTTCCATCTGGGTCAACCACTCACAAAGCTCCTTGTTCTTTTCACTGAAGACCGCCCATTCATTCAATCTCTCACTTACTTGCTGCCGCCTCAGGGAGAGCTGAATGTTTAAATGGGAGAACACATAAAAGGATCATCAGAGCAGAACATGTAACCTGAGGGAAAAAGCCAATAAACGGAGTTGGGTGGACTGGAATAAGCAATAGTTGTGCATCTTTTTAGGTCACTGTATGGTCCTAGGAGGGATCTAGGAAGTTGCACAAGGACCCGCTATGAAATGCCAGTGGGAGGCAGCCAGCCCTCTGCTTCCCTCTTGAAGGGCCGCGTGCACCTTCACTCAATCAAGGTTCTGAACAGCCTCACACGGCAATCGGTTCTGCAGAGACTTCTACAGCATCACTGAATGCACGTGTACTAAAAGAGAAGGGAGAAATAGGAAAGAGGAAGGGATAGAGAAAGAAGGAAGGAAAGGAGGAAAAGGGGGAAAAGGAAAGAAAGAAAAATAAGGAAGAATAGTGAAAAGGAAGAAAAGAAGGGAAGGAAAGAGAAAAGGAAGAATGATCTGAGTCGCAGGTGTCTGGAGCGAGCGGAGCAGAGGGACGCGGTGCTAAGAAGTCAGAAGTGGAAGACGGGTCCCTGTGGCTCAGCTCTGTACCGACCCTTTTACTTTACGCAAGTTCTCTCACTTGCCTGCCCGCTTTCTTTTTTAATTTATTTCCCTTTGTGTCTTTTTCCTTTCCTTCTTCCTTGTGCATAAGGGTTTCCTGAGACATAATTCACATACCATATAATTTCGCTCCGATTAAAGTTTTCAAAGTTATTTATGTTGTCCCATGTGTCTCTACTTCATTCCTTTTAACTGCTGAATATAGTCTTATCATACGGATAGACATCTGATAGACTATATTCAGCAGTTAAAAGGAAAGTTAAAAAGTTAAAAGTTCATCTGTGGGTGGGTGTTTTGGTTGTTTCCGTTATGAATAATGCTGCTGTTGTGCAGGGAGACACACGTTTAGTTGCCTTTGGGGTACATACCCACAAGCAGAATTGCTGGGTTACCTGGTGACACTACAGAGTGTCTGCCAAAGTGGCTGCACCAGTCACATTCCCACCAGCAGTAGGGTTCTCATTTCTCCACCTCCTCACCAACATTTGCTATTATCTGTCTTTTTGATTTTAGTTATCCTAGTGACACAAAGTGGTATCTCACCATGGTTTTGATTCACGTTTCTCTGATGGCTAATGATGCTGAAAATCTTCTGATGTTTCTTGGCCACCTGTATATATTTTTTGGACAACTATCTGGTCAAATCCTTTACCCATTTTTGAATTGGGTTTTTTGTTTGTTTGTTTTAGCACTGAGTTGTAATAGTTCTTTATGCATTAGTGACACAAGGGGCCTGTTTCTTATCTCTAAGTCTAGAGTGATCCCTTCCAGTATTTTAAAATTGTATGACTTCAAAGTACTCTTGTTCTTGCAGTGCTGGTATAGATCCTAAGGAATATTTTTAGTTGAGTTAAGCTACATGTTAGCAAAATATAATGGGATTTGAGTGGCATGAAGATGACCTTTTTTATAGATGTTCTACACACTCACGTTGATAATGCTAGACATTCCACCAGTCATCCCATCGCATTAAACACCTATCTCTTAATTTTATTTTCCCCCTACTAACATTTTAACATGAAAAACATTAGACATACAGAAAAGTTGAAAGAACTATAAGGGTAAGCACCCATAAAACACTTACTAGAGTCTAAAATTGTGAACATTTTGCCTCATTTTGCTTTAATACATGTATTCCTTTATCCATCAATCCATTCATCCATTTTACTTTGTGATGCACTTCAAACCAATTTCCTTTTAAAAATCAAAATGAAAATATTTCTAAGGTACTATATGCTTCCTAGTTAGCAGTTCTGGCTAGGGGTTGGCTCTGTTAATGACTGGGTAATTAAGAGTCAAGGTCCCACACTTCCCAAAATGTCTATGATTCTACACCTAAGAAAACACCTGGTAATTAGGCTTTGAGACCAGGTTCCCTATGCTGGGGCTAGCCCTAGTCATATGGGTCACTTAGATAGTGGGCCCCATAACCTAACAGTTTCTGAATGTCAACAGTACAAATGCATTCTCTTGAATTAATTACAATCTTTTAAAATAAAAATTTCTCTGGGTAGGGTGACACTGATGAATCCATTAAGTATTTCCGCATTAGTACAAGTCAGCTTATCATTAAGTTTTCATTGAGGCAGAAAAATACAGAATAGCCCAAAAGCAGTGAACTTACTCAGGGTGGATACTGGTGGGAATGGAAAAGGCTAAGAAAACACAGGTTAAAGAGTTTTGGAGACAAAGTTCACTTACAATAAGCTCTACCAAGACAGAGATGCAGCTAAGAGCATCTTCTAGCACCCCATTTCCTCTAGAACTGTGATAGAAGAGTGGATTCTGATCTTCGGCAGGAATGCTAAAATGTGGAATTTTTTGATGGATATGATTTTTTCCCTTTCATTCACACAGCATCAGAGTCAAAAGTGTGGTTGGTCATTAAAATTCTGGTTCAACTGATGTCCAAACTGAAACTATGTTTTCATAATTGGGACCTCCCAAAACAACTGTTTTTTGTTTGTTTGTTTGTTTTTGGTTTTGTTTTTTAGTATGTGTCTTTTCAGATTTTATTCTGTAAATATTTCATTTTACACAGCTAGAGTCACACACACGCTTGTATCTTTCTTTTTTCATGATCCAAAAGCAACTGCTTTTTAAGACAAGAGTAAAAGCCCTCGCCCTTCAGATTTAATTAAGATTAACTAGGTCTTGCTATGTGTGGTTCCTCTTTTCCTCTTCCCCCAAATCTTGGCCGTAAGCAAGGACGAATTCTAAGGCTTTCCCCCACAACATCCGCAGGGAAGAGGAGCACATAATAGAAAAATACTACCTATTTCCTTGAGAGGTAGGTTTTATTATCCCCATTTCAGAGTGAAGAAGAAAGAAGGTTAGATAAATTTGAGGCATTTGTCTGTAGTCAGTATGAGACAGAACCAGCAAAGCTTGAGTCTTTGACACAGGCTGCAGTGTAACATTATGACCAAATACCCAGCGACAGCCGAGATTCAAAAACAGTCTCTATCACTTGCTAACGATATGACCAGGGCAGGGGCACTCATCTTCTCTACACCTTACTTCATTTGTGAATGAATTTTTCATCTGTTCCAAATTTTATTAAACAAATGTTTACTGCTTGCAGTAAATAGGTGTCTGCTCTGTGCCAAGCACTGATGTATGTCTAGGAATAATAGGCTCGTAGTAGAATACAAACAACAAAATAAGAAAGTAGCCAGTACATACTAAAGTTGTAAAGGAAGCTGACCATTAATGGGCGGTGATGACTACTATGAGTACTACTACTACGACTATTACTAGTAGTAGTACAGGGGTTCATTTGAGTTTTTAATATTTTTCCCCCTTGACACTCAGGTATTCAATACCTCCACTGAGCAGCTTGACTATATGTCTCTGGTGCTTACCACGGGGCACGGAAGTGTTGCCTTCATCTGCTCACCGTAAAGCAACCGCTGAAAGAAGACACAGGGAGACCACAAGCGCTGGATGCAAAACAGCACCAAGAGCTTCTCAAGAGATGTCAGTTCATAATGGAAGCGGCATTTTCCTTTGGGTTTGTAAAACTGACATTGAGGCCAAATGGTAAGTGAACATTACTCTCTCTTTCTTTGGGGTCAGCTGAAACCTTCGAATTATTGATTAGCTCAGCATATATTTGTTTTTTTTCTCAAGGTTACAAGCACTCTGCATTGCCAATAGCTGGCAAGTACCAGCTCAAACCTCCAGAGCGTGAGGCAGCTGAACAGGAAATACATCCTTTCGACTTCACATATTTTTACCATGACAATTTGAAAAACACCAAGCAATTACAATGATGATATATTTATATCTCAACTAGAATTACACACAGATCTACAAACCCAAATGGGAATAAAAATGGAGAGAAGCTCTGGCTGTAGGCAGACACAACAAACCATTTGGGGAGTCTATCTGTGAGCGGTGTACTTTCCTACATTAACTCTCCTCTGAAACACTTACTCACGGCAGGTTTTCCTCCTTCTCCGCAGTCCCGACAACTCCTGCCTTCTCACCCACTGCTTCGATCGGACTGTGGACAGGCTACTTGCTCTTTAACCGTGCGATAACACCAGGTTTAACTATAGTTTTCAGCTTTTAGAATGAGACTATAGGCTCAAGCTCATTTCCTTTTGTGGTTTCAGACTCGACGGAGGTACTCCGGAAACACTAGCTCAAGGACTAGTAACTAATTTATATTCTTACTTGCAGCTATGTCCTGGCGCCTTTGGTAGGACTACCCATGACTAAAATCTCACCGGAGTCAATAATTTTTTTAGGCTGAAGTAATGGGAGATCAGCATGCTTTAGCTTCATGCCTAAGACATTCAATTTAGAAAGTTTCTAGAAACACTCTGTATTCAATGTATTTCCTCTTTTTTTACTTGAGTCTTAGTCCACTCACAGGTGCAAGGTATTAGACTTGTCACAGCATATCACGTGATCCACAGCAGCCTTCACAATGTATTTCCAAACAGACTGTTGCCTAGATATATCTAAGTCTGGGGAGCAACGTTAAACATAGACACTTTTTTTTCCCCTTTTTTCTTATTCCAGCTTTTTGAGATATAATTGATGTATAACATGGTGTAAGTTTAAGGTGTGCAATGTGGTGATCTGATACACATTTATACTGTGAAATGATTACCACAAGATTAGGTAACACATCCATCATGTCACACAATTACAATTTCTGTGTGTACTGTGAGAGCATTTAAGATATTAGTCATAAAAAAAGAATGAAATCTTGCCATTTGAAACAACATGGATGGAGCTAAAGGGTATAATGTTAAGAGAAATAAGTCAGTCAGAGAAAAATAAATATCATATGATTTCACTCATATGTAGAACTTAAGAAACAAAACAAATGAGCAAAGAAAAAGAGACAAGCAAAAAAAAAAAAAAGGCTCTTAACTATAGAGGACAAACTGGTGGTTGCCAGAGGGGAGGAAGGTGGGGGGAAGGGTGACTAGGTAAATGGGATTAAGGGTACACTTATACTGACGAGCAGTGAGTGATATATTCAATCACTCTATTGTATACCTGAAACTAATATAACACTGTATGTTCATGATTTTGAAATTTTAAAAACAAATAAAACTTCAAATAAATTAATTTAAAAAATCAAGTATCTACTCTCTTAGTGACTTTCAAAAATCTAATAAGTCTTCTTAACTATAGTCACCATGCTATACATTAGATCCCCAGAACTAATTCATCTTATAACTGGAAATTTGTGTCCTTTCTACATCATGGCATTTTTATACAGTGCGTGTTTTCCTAAATCAAAAAATACTGCATAATCATAATCTTCTTAACTTTCAAAATATTCAAAGACCCTATCATTATTTTACATTTAAAGGAATGTAAGTACCATGACATAAAACAAATGCCCTAAAGTCTTCTTTAAATTATTAACAGTATATATGAACAGTTAGTTGTTCGAGGCACTGGAGATAAAAAGAAATGGTCTTCATTCTCAAGGGCCTCGTAGTCTTGAAATAAAGTCAAAACCATTAAAAGAAGAAGAAGACGACAACGATGACAACAGGAACAAGGTATTGTCAAATGATGGCACAGACCAAAAGGGAAATGGGCATTCAGAGGAACAGGAAAATATTGAGGTTTGAGCATCTCAAACAATGGCATCATAGGGGTCATGGTATTTGAAAAAAGATGGGTTAAAATCATAAGGGAAGGAACAGTCAGTGTAGGCAGGAAGAGTGGTCTGACAAGGTCTTGGGGTAGGGCAATTCCTGGCAGGTTTGGAAAGGGAGTGGAAGCCATTATCTAAGTTGTTACCTCCCTGACAGCTTTTTTTTTTTTTTTTAAGATTATTTATTTATTTATTTGACAGAGATCGCAAGTAGGCAGAGAGGCAGGCAGAGAGAGGGAGAAGCAGGCTCCCCGCTGAGCAGAGAGCCAGATGTGGGGCTTGATCCCAGGACCCTGAGACCATGACCTGAGCCGAAGGCAGAGGCCTTAACCCACTGAGCCACCCAGGCGCTCCACCCTGACAGCTTTTAAGACGTCAATTAGCCAGAGAAATGGATATAGTATAATTAATTTCACAGAATATGCTGAAAAGTATTGAGTCAGCAAGTAGTGCTAGATTTTTCTCAGTTTGAAGAAAGACAAATGAATAAGGCTCATAAAAGTAACTGAACACGGCTGTGATCATTTTCCATAACTTGTACACATCAAGTTTTCTTGCACTTATACACCATGTCATGATGAAGTCCTTGGATGAGAAAATCGTATGATAATTCACTGGATAGTTACGTATTGATTTTGGGTTGAATAATTCGGAGAATAACGTACCCTGATTAGCACTAGCACGTTCAACGTGAGCTTCTCATTGTGTTCACTAAGAATATGAAGCTCAGTGAAAAATGGCTAAATTAATTTTGAGCTCAAATCACTGGCATGTTTATAAAAATCACCTCTTACACTCTTTCCTTTTAAAAATATAGATTCATAGAAAACTGTTCACCCATTTAGGAAGTGTGCTCCAGAGTTTCCCTTGGCTAATGGTCTGAGAAATTCTTGCTTTTCACCTAAACACTGAGAGAAATTTACCTAATAACAAATTTTTTGTTGATGTCAAATGAATCAGGAGGCTATGAGCCTCTTAAACTCTGTTTAATGTTTTCTGAAGCATGAAGGGAAGCACCTCTAAAGTCAGAGAAAGTGAGGAGCATGGAGAAGAGATCTCTAGGATGGCAGAGTTGGCCTGAAACTGGGGAGGTAGGAAGAGACTCCTTCTCAAAAGCCCATTCCTCAACCTTGTAGCACTTGCTTCTCACCAGCCAGGTCTCTGTCTAATCCACTCCTGTGCCTTTACCCAAGCTGCAACCTCGTCCAACCCATCCACTTACTCCCTCCACACCTGTCTCTTCTGCTCCCCTTCTCAATGGTCAGCTCAAGATTTATCCACTACAACAAGCATTTCCTTTATTCCCTGCAAAGCACACCGTCGTTAGTTTGCTTATATCACTAGACACTGTTTTAACTTGTTGATACCAATCTCCTTCTTCACTGCACAGGTTCCTCTGGACTGATTTTCGTCTCAGCTCTGTTGTGAACTCAACGTAGGAACATCTACTATAGCTTGTGAAGTCTACAACTAATGTGACTGATTCACTGAACAAATACGGACCACAGGCTAGTAAGGCCCAAGCAGAGCAATCAGGTACAGCAAGGGACACTACTGACACACTCCCAGCTTCCTGGAGGCGATGGTCTCCAGGCCATCAGTGAGAACCTGTTCTTCACTTGTGGGCCTTTAATCTATGTTCTTCTTTGCCTCTGATGCCTTCTCAACGCCTTTCCACCGATCTCTGCCTTTCATTCCAAAATCAAAATCCAACCTGGGATCTCAATTTTATAGTATTACGTACAAGGAAAATACTTAATAAATGAATCACATATGACTAAAAAGGCCAAACACATGAATTACTAGAAACAATGATGGTAAATCAACAGACACAATATTTCCAAATACAAAACCATTTCCACAGTATTTAGCAAAAACTGCAAAAAAAACAAAGATTTTTCACATGTTTAAAGTAAGAAAAAGAGCACCAGTCCCTAGCAAGACCACATTCATGAACCAAAAAAAAAAAAAAAAAATGTTTTTCCTTTTACAATATTATGCCAGCCAGTGAAAGGGACGGCAAGAGAATCCAGCTGAGATGCATCTCAAATATAATGTTAAGATATAATTGTCTTAATCTGAAATATTTTCCACAAAAACCAGAGTTCTTCCTCCATGTATACTCTGAATTATAGGATAGGTCCAAGCATGGATCAAGCCATTTGACATTCCGAGTCATCTTCTAGTTTTCCACCTTTCTGAGCTAATGCTCCATGCAGAGTTTGTCTTACCTGGTGGCAGAGTTCTTCCCACTGCCTTTGCAGAAGCTCCATGCGCTCGTTTAGGATGGAGATGTCATCAGCACTAATGTAGGCACAGAGGGTGTCCTTCAAGAGGGTCAGCTGAGCCAAGTCATCTGTCCAGCTCCCAGCTGCATTTTCCAACTCCTAGATTAAAGAAACAAAAATGGGAATGCCCATGGATATCTACCATCAATAATCCTGAAATGTTCTAGGAATCCTCTTTTAAAAATTTTTTAAATTTTTTTTAAAGATTTTATTTATTCATTTGAGAGAGAGAGAGGGCACAAGCAGGGGGAGCAGCAGGCAGAGGGAGAGGGAGAAGCAGGTTTCCCACTGAGCAAGGAGCCCATTGTGGGGCTCAATCCCAGGGCCCTGGGATCATGACCTGGGCCGAAGGAGATGTTTAATGACTGAGCCACCCAAGGAATCCCCTCTTGATACAATTATCTTTCTACACCATCCTATTTCAACATCTCACTTGGTCTGCTTTATTTGTTCTGGTGTTGTCTGATACTTCACCAAATTCTTCTGATAAAACCTCAGATTGCAGGGCACCTGGGTGGCTCAGTTGGTTAAGGGTCTGCCTTTGGCTCAGGTCATGATCTCAGGGTCCTGAAATTGAGCCTAGCCTAGGTCCCTGCTTGGCAGGGAATCCACTTCTCTCTCTCCCTCTGTTCCTCACCTCCAACCATCATGCTCTCTCTCTTGTATATGCGCTCTCTCTCAAATATCTTAAAAAATAAAACAACCCAGGCTGCTTGAAGAATCTTCCTATGATCTATTTACCATTTAACAGATCATTTTGGCTCACCTTTTCTCTCTCTCTCTCTCTTTTTAAGATTTTATTTATTTGTTGGAGATAGAGAGAGAGCGAGAGCATACACAGTGGGGAGAGGGGCAGAGGGAGAAGCAAGATCCCCACTGAGCAGGAAGCTAGATGCCAGGGGATCCCAGGACCTGGGATCATGACCTGAGCTGAAGGCAGGCGCTTAACTGATAGCCACCCAAGCACCTCCTGGCTCATCTTTTCTAAACTGAAGTTTCATCACTGCATGATCTTCTTTACTTTTTTTTTTTTTAAAGATTTTATTTATTTGACAGATCACAAGTAGGCAGAGAGGCAGGCAGAGAGAGAGGGGGAAGCAGGCTCCCCGCAGAGCAGAGAGCCTGATGCGGGGCTCGATCCCAGGAACCTGGGATCATAACCTGAGCCGAAGGCAGAGGCTTTAACCCACTGAGCCACCCAGGCGCCCCTCTTCTTTACTTTTAAACTCATTTCATAAACTGCTAATGCAGCCTTGATTTTTGTCCCAAATTAACTGATCATGTTAATAAAATATTTAAAAAAAAAACAAACTCCTAGGTTAACTTTCATCCTCAAACACTGTAAGTTTACATTCTGTGATATAAACTTAATAATGTCATCGCTGAAAAGATGTGTTGCTGTTATTACTCAATTGAAAATAATTGAAAAACTTCATTTCCAGCAGGAACACAGATCTCTTCAGGTTACTGAAGGAAAGTATTACATACTCTGTCCTTTTGGGAAATAATTTAAGAAAAAATCCACACGACAACATTTGAATGAGTTGACATTGGTTTCTGCAACGCTTTGAACTGCTGACCAATTTTGCAATTTGTACAACTCTTTGCTTTTTGCCAGCTGTTGATGCGTTTAGATTCCAGCTAATTTTGTGTATAAATAGAGTATTTCACATGGCTTTTTCCCCTCTCTTTTTGTCTCTTCACACAGGAGACAAGTTTCCAAAGGCAAAGGCAATTAACGGTACTGTTTTAGGCTAACTTCTCAGGCAATTTAGGCAAACAAGGTTTTAGTCTGAATTTTCTAGGTAATTGCTTTGTTTTGCTGCTAAGGGTGGTTTGGGGAAGAGCAGCAGAGAGCTGGACCAAAATGCATCCTTTTAATCTCCAAATTTAATAGCCGGGTATGATTGTAACGTTATATTTTGGGAGATGAGGTCCCATGGTAACAGCATTTGGCTGAAAAAACGAACCGTCCAGGTGGAGTAAATATGCAGAATTTCTGCTTATATTTGTACACATATCAAGCTGTCATACCAGTGTAAAGATTTCTCACTGTTTATGCCAATTTCTAGCCCCTAACTCAAATATCAGACATAGTCCATGGTATAAGGATTATAAAATAAACAATACCACCACAAGAACAGTTTCAGACTCACAGACTCCTTTAGAAGAGTCCATGTTTAAAAATACAGCCTCTGGACTCAGGGAGCCTTGATATTTACTAACTTGGAAATGTTATTAAACTTCTGGAAGCCTCAGTTTTCATATCTGTAAAAGGGAAATAACAGACTGTCCACGTGAGCTTGTGTTTATGTCCACTGAGATAATGCTGGTATAGTCACTGCCACGTAAGAGAAGACTAATAAATACCTATTTCTGTTTGTCACAGTTTTCTTTAACCATTTGTTAGAAATTTACTATCACAGACTTAAAACAAACTTTTTAATCTTTGCATACTTCTGAATTTACATCTCAAGATAATATGTTCTTCACTTGCCATCATCCGTGATGCCATCTAAGATTTATTTTTCCCAAATATGCCTCTTCTTTTTAAAGATTTTATTTATTGGGTGGCTTAGTGGGTTGGGCCTCTGCCTCTGCCTTCAGCTCAGGTCATGATCTCGGGGTCCTGGGATCGAGCCCCACATTGGGCTCTCTGCTCAGTGGCGAGCCTGCTTCCCCCTCTCTCTCTCTGCCTGCCTCTCTGCCTACTTGAGATCTCTCTCTCTCTGTCGAATAAATGAATAAAATCTTAAAAAAAATAAAATGTGATAAAAAAAGGATTTTATTTATTTATTTGACACAGAGAGAGAGAGAAAGAGAGAAAGAGAGTGAGCACAAGCAGTGGGAGGGGGAGAAGCAGACACCCGAGGCGTGACTCGATCCCAGGACTCTGGCATCATGACCTGCGCCAAAGGCAGACACCTAACTGACTGAGCCACCCAGGTGCCCCATAAATCTGCCTCGTTTGAGTTTCAAAGGATATCCTTAAATTCTGATACTGAAGAAAAATTCTTACATCCATGTTTTTTGTGATTTCAAGACTTCCTTAAAAAATTAGTTTTTCTTTAATGTTTATGATTTCATAGCCAGCATGAGGCAGAGACTTTTTTTTTTTTTTTTTTTTTGACAGAGAGAGAGAGATCACAAGTAGGCAGAGAGACAGCGAGAAGAAGATTCCCTGCTGAGCAGAGAGTCCGATGTGGGGTTCAATTCCAGGACCCTGAGATCATGACCTGAGCTGAAGGCAGAGGCTTAACCCACTGAGCCACCCAGGTGCCCCTAGCAGAGACCTTCTGATTAAAATCCAAATCATTTAAAAATTTGAAGTTTCTCTTTAAAAGATTTATTTATTTATTTTAGAGAGAGTTGGGGGAGGGGCAGAGGGAGAAAATCTTCAGGCAGACTCTGGGGAGCACTGAGCATGGAGCCTGACCTCACAACTTACAAGATCATGACCTGAGCAGACAGAAACCAAGAGTCAGAGGCTTAACCGACAGAGCCACCCAGGCACCCCAGTATCTGTCAAGTTTTCACAGCATTACTCCACAGCAATAATTTGCAAACAACTGGGAAACACATGGACATGTATTATTTGGGGGAGAAAAAAAACACTCACTAAGGTCATTTTGACAAGATCTGCCTATCGCTCAGCAGAGAATGGCTAAGCAGATACTCCACTTGACAATATAGGAATGAATGGAACAAATCCTACAGCCCCCCACATCGTGTCAGTCTCAGCAAGCTCACGATGCAGGGAGGGGTCTGTATTCGCCCCTGATTGGCTTCCAGCTGTGACTTGAGGTGTGGATCATGACTTTCAAGCAGTCAGGGCCCTGAGTCCCTGAAGGACTACGTGTCTCCATGCAGTACCTGAGACTGGCTATTTACAGTTCCCGATTTCCTTACCGAAGAGTGCGGAGGACAGGGAGTTCCCCAAAGGGGCCTGGGATTTCCAGGCTGCCGAGCCTCGCTCTTCTCTCTGTGAACTAGACTAGTCCACTAGAACAACTCTCCAGTGTAGATGCTTTAAAGAGATAGTGTTTATTGCTTTGGACCCAGCTTTTAAATATCTTTTAATGCTGTGTTTATATTTCTCAAGATAATCCATAAACTGGTCTACAATTTCATCAACTGCAACAACCGGGTCTCACCAGAGTTGTCTGCCCGAACACGACAGCCGGGAGCCTGCACCCTCACGTTTGCAGCTGGAGCGGTCTGACTGCGCGATGCTTTCAAAGGCAACATGACAACCAAGTTCACAGGCAAGGGACGGCTAAAGGCTCAGCGCAGGCGTAGTTTACCTTGCAGCGCATTTGCTCTGTGTGCAGCTCTTCATGGTGATCCGGCAGAGGCTGAGAAAGCTTCTTTTTGAATGTTCGTAGCTTCTCCAGAGAATTAGCTATTCCGTTCTCACATCTTTCCCAGTCCTGCAATGGGAGAAGAAAGAAATTCACTTTTTTTTTTTTTAAGATTTTATTTATTTATTTGAGAAAGAGACAATGAGAGAGACCATGAGCAAGGAGAAGGTCAGAGGAAGAAGCAGACTCCCCATGGAGCTGGGAGCCCGATGCGGGACTCGATCTGGGAACTCCGGGATCATGACCTGAGCCGAAGGCAGTCGTCTAACCAACTGAGCCACCCAGGAGTCCCCACCTTTTTTTTTTTTTAACTTTGGTAGGAAACTGGAACAAAAGAAAAACCCTCTCTTTAATCCAAGAGAAACAGTTAAGATTCAGTGGGGAGTCCACATCCATCGTCATGTGGGCAGCAACAGGAGAGCTGAGTTCTCTGCTCCCTCTATGTGACTTTTAGCAGGTAATACGCTACGCCTCAGTTTTCCCTGCAAAAATGGGCATACTACAAACTCTATAAAGGCTGGAGGGCTGGAGGAAGCAATGGGTGTGAACACTCAAACACAAGGCCCAGAATATCATGGGTACTCAAAAATGTTATCTGCATTTGGATCAATCTGCAGAGGTAAGAGGTAATCACAATGTTTTGCCTCTTTCCTAACCCCATCCATAAGGTGTCTACCCAACCTCAAATGCTCTGTAAGAGATTTAAAAAAAAAGAGGATACGGAATCTCTTTCAGGATGAAGAGTAGAAATAATATAACCCTGACTCCGATTCAATTTATTATATGAACAGTATGTGGCACATACATTTGATTTGTTACTGAAGCAGAATCCCAAGTACCAAAGGCTGGTACCAGGTGGGTCTCATCTTGAAAGCACGGACACATGCATCACACAGGGTTGAGTATACAGCACACAAAACCCGGAACAATCAATAAATGGAATCAGAGAGATAAGGCAAAATTTTAAAAACAGACATCAAGTATGTCAAATAGTAATGAGAGCTCTGAGGAAGGCTACAGCAGATTAACCGTGGAGAGCGTGGCGGTGTGGACTGGTAGATCTCCACAGAGCGACAGAGAACACATACATCATGTGGTTGTGTTTCGGACGATGACGCACCAAACTCGTAACTGTGTTTACCCCTGTGGAAAATTAGAGGATTTGGTGGTGGTAGAGGGGAAATTTTGTTTTTCACTCTTCATAGTTTAATTACTACCTGATTTTTTTTTTAATCAGACACATGTATTTCTTTTTTAAATAAAAGAAAAAAATGATAGGAACCATCTAATTTTAGCATTAGATCTACAAATTAACTCTTATCTAGTGTCTCAGTGACAATTCAAATCAAATTCATCTCAACAAATCTCCTTAATTTTGCCTATGACCTCCCATTCCTCTCCCCCCACCTTCCCAGTAACCCTTCGCAGTGGCCGCTCCCCACCACTTAAATGAATGAGCTCCAAAGGCAGACAACTAGAACTGCTTTTAGTAGTGAGCCTGGTGCCAAATCATGCCGCCTTTTCCTTCACATTATCTCTTCCGTTGTCACTAGTCCTTTCTTGTCTGGGCTCTTTCTGTCTTCTTTCCTGATGTTTTATTTTTAGCACAAGCCACCCATAGGTGCTATGACCAAAACTTTCTTCTGTCAGAAGTGCTGACTGAAGTGCCTCCCTACTCAAAAGGTCTTCTGGTTTCTAACGGAACTGAGCCTTTGGCCCAAGAGTCTCATTTCTCTTTAAATTCCTTCAGGGAACTTCCTAGAGTGCATAACCACATTCCCTGTTTCCGTGTACCAGAAAAAACACAAACTGTCTGTCTTGGTCAGATGTGCTCCCATTCCCCTTTGTTAAAGTATCTCTGTGTTCCCAGGCTACAAGTAATTCATCAATGCTAAGCACAGTGAGGTCCTCTTAGTAAACAGAACAGCATTCTCAATGAAATCATCACACATTCTGAAACCTATCAACATGTCATCAGTGAATGTTCATTGACCTAAAAGAGAAAAGGTCAGTTTCTTATTTTCCACAACAAAATTAAGAAGCCATAGTGAAGCAGGTGAACATGAAAGTCACAGAATGAGAATCACTGTATTTTGGCACATGGATTTAGAGCAGTAAATCAGGGGTAAAATTAGATAAGCATTATAGCTATGACGTAAAGATACACTAAAATAAAGAGAAATGACATTAACATTAGAATTTAGCTTCAGAAATTCCTTCTTAGGCAAATGGGTTCTAGTGTATGATTTAAAATATAACAAACTTTAACAAGAGAAGAAGAAGGATTCCCCTTTCCAAGGATGGCTTAGATTCCAAAGCTATAACCCAGTCTTTTTATTACATGAGTTACAAGGAAATAACAAAATGTCATGGTCTGCAAACATCTATCAACGTGTATGTTTTACACACCAATGAACAGACTGGCAAGAAAAGCAAATGCAGTGACTCAGCCATTTCACCTAATTAAAGTTTTGGGAATGTGTCCAAAAGTCACATCACAAGTAAAGAAAAATATATGATTAAAATGATCTCTACAGAATGAGTTACAGCATTTTTAATCCTTTCCTGGAAGCATAAAAAGAAGAAAAAAAGAATCAGACATATTGTATTACTGATGAATTGTGCTGCATGCAAATAACAGTTCTTTAACAAATATTCAGTGGCATTTTTGACTGATTATTTCCTACACAGAAGGTAATATGTTATTAAATAAAATTCAGCAGAATAAACCCAACGGGTGTGTACTTGAAGCATTATAAAAGCAAAATGTATTCCATTACCTTTAGTTAGTACCTGTGATCCAAAAACATGGCAGGTCAAATTTAATAGATAATTTTGTTGAAGAGTTAGAGACTACCAATGTATATAAAACTTCACCATTTAGCTCTGTTCACTCTTTAATCTGATAATAATATCAACAGTGATAATGACCATCATTTATTGCATGCTCAATCTGTGTAGGTCCTGTGCCATCTGTTTGCTTTCATGATTTCATTAAATCCTCAAGATGATGGCCAAAGGAGGGATAATCGTGCCCACTCTAGAGGGGCAGAAACGGAGGCTCAGATAGGTTGAGTTAACCAGGTTATTTGGTTTATTATGATTTTAACTTGGATAGATCTGACTTCAGAAACCATGCCCTTTTTCCAATGCCTTCTGATTATGTATTGAGTATGGTTACGGAAAGTGAGGGAGAAAGCATCCTGTTGGGGGGGGGGGTTGGATAAAGCTACATCTCTCTAGACTGCGGTGTGATTCCCTATGCTCTCTGTTTCCAACTAAAGGCTTAATATACCTCCTGAATTTTATCTCATAGCGATGTGCTTGGAGAAACTAGGATGAAATCAAGAGTGTCCTCTTGGATAGGTTTTTCCCTGATATAAAATAAGAGATACCAATCTTAAAAACCACTTTAGAGTCTTAGATCAGGGAGTGGAATCTACTCTTTGCATTCCTGTTTGGATTTATAAAATCATCACATGGCTCTTGGCTCGGCACCGACCGACCAGTAATCAGAATCCATCACTTGGACAGCCTTATTAGACTTAAAACTACCTCGTCGGGGGATTTTTCTGAAAGACAAATTGCTGAAAATTGGGAAACTTCTCCAGTTCATGCAAGATAGGACAAAGTCTTAAATAAGACACAGGACAGGGGATCAAAACACTTCGGGGTAGGACTTAACGATCTTCGCCTTGTCTGGAAAGCTAACAGGAGGGAGCAACACACTACTTAGGCAGCTTTTGAAATTGCATCACGTCTATAGGAGGAAAGAGCAGAACTTACTTTCAGCAAGAAGGCCAGTTTTTTCTTCTGTTCCTCCAGATGCGTGCTGGCTGATCTCCACTTCTCCTGGATCTCAGTGAGCTCTGCCTGCAAGGCGGCCTCAGCCCCACTGTCGGCCGAGAGCAGGAGCTGCTTCCCCGCCTCCACTGTAAGGATGTAGCTGCCTTGCTGCCGCAGGAACACTTTTTCTTTGAACTGAAAGGAGCCACAGCTTTTTACTTTCTCATTCTTTTCTTTACCAGGTCCCCATTACAATGTTTTTAAGTGACCGTACAGTTTTCCATACATTGCCTACCCTCTTTATCCAACATTCATGGAGCTAGCACTTGGTGCGTGAGTGCAGCACTGTATGAACGAATGAGAATTCAACAGGGAGAGGCTTAATTTCTGTCCCCAAGTTAAATACAATCACAGCTCAATATGGGAACCACTCGAGGAGATGGATGCATAGGGAACACACTGCCCCATGTTTTAAGTTTTATTAGGATCTTTTCATTTCTTCTGCAAAAAAATGTTTGTGATGTTCATTTCATACAAACAACCCTCTTCCAGGAAAGACTAGTGCCCAAATATCTAACCCACATGGACGTAAGACAGGTTTCCTCAAAGGGAAAAGGCTTCATGAGTCTTGGAGGACCTATGAATACAGCAAGACTAAGAAGGACCTGGTATGACGAAGACCAAGAGTCAGAGAAGAGTCCTTCCATGCAGAGAAAGGAAGACGGGCAAAGTTACTATATGAGAGCATTAGGATGAATTCAGGACCCTGGTGTAGTTTTCAGGGGCTGGGCATGCGAAAGAGTAGCAGAGAATGATACAAGATCACACCTTGCACAGGAATTTTTTTTAATAGTGAAAGTGACTGAGATTCACGGAGAATATCAAGCAGAGAAGTGATGTGTTTGGATTAAAACCCTCTGCAGTAGGGTAGAAAATGGAATGGAAAAGGGCATATATTGGATATACTGAAATAGGTTAGAGAGCTGTTTTCTCTGCAGGTAAGAAACCAAGAGCTCCTCATCTAACATAGTGGCAGTGGGGATGGAAACTGGGAGTTATTATAAATGGGGAGGGAGAGAACAAGAATAAGGCTCTAGAGCAACTCTGAGGTTCCTAACTGATAGACCAGATAGCTGGTAATGACGTTTCCTAGAATCGGGGACATGGGACATGGGACTGCCAGATGGCTCCTCTGGACCTCACAGGCTCCATGGGAACTCATGGAGTATATTATGCCTGTGCTGCACATATATATTTATAAGTCTAAAACACAGCTGAATATAATAAGTTAAAAGCTTGGGAGGTAGAGGTGACTGGAAGATAGCACGTAGGCCTTTCCATGCTGGTAGGAGGCAGACGGAGCTACAGGTGAATGAGGTCTTCTAGGAGAAAGAAGCAGCAAACAATGACCTTGAAAGCAAGAGGCGACATGAAATACATCGGGGATGACTGATGGGAGTACTGGGAGGGAGCTATCTACGGGACTGGAGGCCCCAGTTCCTAGGCAGATAGAAGGAAGGGGCCAAACCAGGAAGGAACCAGGAGCTCAGACAGGACGGAGACTTTTTATCTTTTCTGGAATACCCAAGTTACACAATTAAATTGCTCCTGGTTATAATCAATGCAAAGTGCTCCCTTCCTGGCCATTGCCCTTCCCTCCATGCTGGTTAGTGAACTGCTGAGAGGCACTGGTGTGGACCATGGACGGGGTCTGTGAGAGGCTGGGCCCACCAGACTATCATCATTAAATAAGGCCTTTGTAATGCAATCGGATTGTATGTTCCTGCTGATACTTTGGAACAGTGATCGTCCTCATTCCAATGTCACTCCAGGATCCTTGTGAAGAACTGAAGCGAGAGTAAGGTGTACAGTGGAAACGGACAAGAGGTTTCAGAAGCGTGTGTTTCGCACCATACCTGCACTTCATCAAAGAGGGTCCTTGCCTGTTGCAGTGGTATCGGGACGCTTCCGAGAGCACTCACGGGAAGATAGGACACTTCACCCAACCATTTACGCAGCTTCTCGGCCATCTCCCTGTAGCGCTGCCACTGGCGGATCTGGCTGTCGATGATACCCCTCCTCTGCTGGGCCCTGCGAATCACTCCCTGCCACTGACTGCTGAGCAGTGTCAATTTCAGGTTGAATTCATCCCTGGTGCAGAAATAATGACGCAGGGAGGAGACGCTTTACCCTGGATGCATTTACATATCAGCCATACACTTGATGGTGCTAATAAGCCCTGAGACGTGACTTAAGGCAGAGGCTTTCAAATGTCACGCCATGATCTTTTACCAGGTCTATTTCCAGTAATTTTTTAAATTAATAACTATTAGTTTTTGCAAACAGTTTCATGTCTCAGCACAGGTTAAAGGCGTATCTGTAAGCTCACTAATTATACCCTCCCTGAATGAGAGAGGGGAGGGAGCATAGGGGAGCAGATGCTGCGGGAATGGGTCCAAACCCTAAGTAGTGTATGCAGCGGGTGACAGCATCTTGTGAGTGCTACAGGGGGAGAGAGAAAATGAGGACCACGGCCCTGGGTGGCTCGGGCAGTTAAGCATGTGCCTTTGGCTCAGATCATGATCCCAGAGCCCTGCGTTGGGCTCCCTGCTCAGTGTGGAGTCTGCTTTTCCACCTGCTCTCTCCCCCTTCTTGTGCTCTCACTCTCGGTCAAATAAGTAAATAAAATTAAAATAAACAAATAAATAAAATATAAAAAAAAAAAGAAAACGAGGACCAAACTTATTTATAAACCTCTCTCTTCAACCACAATTATAAACCAGTTTGGATAAACAACAGCTAGAATCATAAGCCATTCAAATAAAATCCTGTTATTCAAAAACTTTTTTTCTTTAGATTTTTATTTACTTATTTGAGAGAGTGATCACAAGCGGAAGGGTGGGGAGGGAAGGCAGAGGAGCAGAGGGCTAGGGAGAAGCAGACCACCCACTGAGCGGAGAGCCAGACGAAGGACTCAATTCCAGGACCCTAGGATCATGACCTGAGTGGAAGGCGGACACTTCATCAACTGAGCCACCCAGGTATCCCTAAAAATGTTTTTTAAAACTATATTCATAAGCTCCATATTCCCTCACAATAAACAGCCCTAATCTTTAGCAAATTACTCCACATGTTAATCTAAATCATCCCTTTTACATTTTAAACCCACTTCATTTTGTTCTTAGGAAAATGAAAACTATTTAGTCATCACTGTCTGTATGAAGGTTATCTGCATACTTAGAGATAGGAAATTGTACTTAAGTGTTCTCAATTTCAGGTTAAATAATCTCAGGTCTTTTAGTTTGTCCTTTCTACCTCTGTGTTTTCTACTTGTAAAAAATGTCAGTAGTTCTTTAGGAAGTTTTGTAGCTCTAGAACTGATGCGTAGTATATAGCTCTAGAACTAATGTGTAGTTTGTAGATCTAGAACTGATTTGTCCAGTATCAAATAGAATGAGTTTCTTTGTAAATTACGATGTTATTCACATTTTAATATTAAAGTGTAACATTACTTGATTTTTCTCTATTGTGTGAGTTTTGCTTTTCTTCCCTAGATACACTATTCTCTCCTCTTGAGGATGGCTTCAAATCTGAGCTGAAATTACTCTTCTGGACAGCTATACTGCTGACATTTCCTATCACCTAGGCCCACTCTAAATCCTTGGTTTTGTAACTAAATGTGTTATTGGTGCTTCCGTTTTTGAAAGGAAATTCTGATGTTAATAATCTAATTGCAGTAGAATTAATGTGATGAATTAGGTTCATGAAATTCCCCTAGAAGTTTCAAGCATCTATCGTCTCTGAAGACCTTTCACTCCAGGACTTGAGACTGTCTGACAACAGGAAAAGTGCCCCACAGACTGCTTTTCCCATCAGGCCACTATCCAAGATCTCTTAGGAGCTCTTGTCCTCACTTTCTGGAGAGTCCAACTGTCCTGAACCACCTGCCGGCTCAGGTGAGGAAGTACTCAACACATGACACTTCTCATGGCTGAACTTGAACTCTAACACACAAAACTTACAAAACTTTTAAGACACAATACATTTGTAATCAGGGGCCTTCATGCTCTAATCTGAATTTTTTTTTTCTTCTCTAACTTTCAGAATTATCCTCGGTCCAAACCTCCCATTTTCCCCTTTTTGGAGTTTCTCCTTAACTGTTAACATTTACGATTTAATAGATGTTGGCTTGTGCATGGATTTTGAATTTTGTTTTGCCTATTGGCTTTTATAATACTGTTACAGAGTTGACCAAAGGAGGATAAAGCAAAGAATACATTAATTGCATTTGAATTTGTTTTATTTTGAAGGTCTTAAATTCTTAGTAAAGCTCACATTTAAGTTTGGCTTACTTTGAATAGAATAAATATGGTACCACATTTTGTTGTTCCAAGCTTAACCGTGAAAATCTTTTATGTTACCTCCAAAGAAATAGCTCTTAAAACTGAAATTGCTTCAAAACATTTAAAAAAACCCTCTTAGTGAAAACAGTGATTTATGTTCTTTTTTCTTTCTTTCTTTTTTTAAATAGTAAGTAAGTTAATTATAATCACAGTTACTGGTCTTTAATATGGGAAAGATGTCCTTATGTAAATATATATAAGTATCAATGAGTTTTATACCCCAAATATCACTACATAAAGTAGATGGGATAGACTAGATTTTGTTCCTAGGAAATGTAAATATAGTACAAGATCAGTAATTCATATACTGGAAGTCAAAAGAGGAGCTAGATTACCTCGTCATTTTTAAATAAAGAGGACATCTTCTAAGTAAATGAAGAGGAAGCAGGATTTCAGAGTGTCAGCTGATTTAAGGTAGCAACCATTCCCAAACTGGAATTACCCCGGTGTGGAAACCCAGCTGGCTGGTCCTGACTAAAACCCCGAGTGACCTTGGTCCCATCAGTTTGCATTTCCGGGCCTCAAGTTTTCATCTTTAAGTAATAACGATGATCTAGTGATCTCTATGCTCCTTTGAGGAATATAATTTCTGTAACTGTATGAGAGGATTAGAAGCATCTGTTTACAAACCATTGATACAATTTGTTCTGATCTATTCATTAATTCCAGTCTCCTGCAGAGGTCTGGAGAAGGCTGACTAGGAGATTTCCAATTACTTTATGTCCTTCATGTAATATAATAGCAGTTCTTTAAAAAGATTCAATACTCAGTCGTTTCAACGAGCCTTTTCTCCAATTACTGAGGCTCCATTGCAGTACAATTGCCTTAGGAAGATTAGACATATGCCTTCTAATTTGCTCATTAAAAAGAAAATGACTAATTCACTGAAACCTTTCTTCATAATATCAAAGATCCTACCTGTCATCAACTTGACCTTGTTCTAGAAGATGCTGCCCGTCAATAATGATCGAGTGCAAAATCTGCTGGCGACTGAACATCTCTGCTTGAAACAACTATTATTTGAAAAAAACAGAAAAACATGTTTTTAGAGTTCCCAATTTTAGGGACCAGTTTCCTAGTAACTTCCACAAAAATTCTGGCTTTAGCAAGGCTTTGAAAGATATTTCCAGTTGTATCTGGATACATGAGAAATCCTGCAGTATGGGAAAATGCATTTTTTTTACCCTTGTCTCTTTTTAATTTTTTGTCCTTTAAGTTTTTAAAATTAACATATAATATATTATTTGTTTCTGCCCTACAGGTCAGTGATTCATCAGTCTTACACAATTCATAGTGCTCACCATAGCACATACCCTCCCCAGTGTCCATCACCCAGCCACCCCTTCCCTCTCACCCCCTTCCTCTCCTCCAACAATCCTCAGTTTGTTTCCTGAGATTAAGAGTCTCTTATAGTTTGTCTCCCTCTCTGGTTTTGTCTTGTTTCATTTTTTTCCTCTCTTCCCCTATGACCCTCTGCCTTGTTTCTCAAATTCCACATATCAGTGAGATCGTATGATAATTGTCTTTCTCTGATTGACTTGTTCGCTTAGCATAATACCCTCTAGTTCCATCCTTGTTGCAAATGGCAAGATTTCATTTTTTTGATGGCTGAGTAGTAATCCATTGTATATAATAGATTCCACATCTTCTTTATCCATTCATCTGTTGATGGACATCTGGGTTCTTTCCATAGTTTGTCTATTGTGGACATTGCTGCCATAGATACTGGGGTGCGATGACCCTTCGGATCACTACATTTGCATCTTTGGGGTAAATCCCCAGTAGTGCAATTCCTGGGTCATAGGGTAGTTCTATTTTCAACTTTTTAAGGAGCTTCCATATTGTTCTCCAGAGTGGCTGCACCAGCTTGCATTCCCACCAACAGTGTAAGAAGATTTCCCTTCCTCTGCACTCATTGTAGTTTTAATTCATTTTCTTTTATTCCATCTTTAGTCAAATTGATAACACTGGATTTTAAAATACCTTATACTTATTTAAAGTCTTTATTGTTAAAATTTAAGCAAAATGCTTTTAGTATCATTCTTTTTTAAGCTCGTTTAAGCTTTTCTCTGCTTTTAGGTAAATCCTATTTCTCCATTTGTGTGCATTTCAGAAACACATGGGCCGATGTGCTTACACCAGTGAACAACAAAATTGAGACAAACAGCAAATTAATTAATTTGCTTTTTGTATCTAGTTCTCTCGCTGGTGTTTCTTAAGAAATAATTATAATGCCATTTGATCAAGAGGTACTCTCAGATACATTTGATAGCTTGATTTCCAAGTATAAAATATGGATTTTTTTTAACAGAATGCTCAATTTTCATTTATCAAAGATTTGTGATCAAAGCAAAATCTCTTAAGCAACTAGCTTTGGCAATATTAACGTAGTATGTAACTGAATTTGAAAATTGTCTAACTTTCTGTATTCCTTCCGCACACACCCCTGATTCCCCCCGACGCCCCCATAACTAGACTTTTACCACAATTCTAGTAGTATACATTGCAGGATATTGAAGCCTAACACATTTGGAAAACCAACTATGGAAGCAAAGAACTGCACCACATTTTTATAGTTAAGATATGGAAACCTCAAACTTAAGAAAGAAGGCAAAACAGTGCCTGCACCAGAGGAGACTCAGCACAAGAAACAGTGCCTGAACTCCTCCACGTGGCAGTGCCGGACTTTCCCTAAGACTGTTTCATTACCCAAAACCCTACCGGCATACCTTACCTCATGCGCTCTCTGCTGCTCCAAAAGATGCTGATAGTTGCCTGAAATCTCCACTGCTAACTTTTGTTCCGTTTGAACCAGGAATTCCATCCATGTTTCACATTTTTCCAAGAAAGTCTGGTGTTGCAGCAAAAATGACTGCAACTTACTGATAAAACGAAGGAAAAAGAACACGATTACGGTGTTATTTGTTAGTTCTTACCCTGTCAATATATAAAATTAGATTAGAAAATATCCTCTGTCTCCGATTCTAACTGGACCACCACAAAGATTTCAATGTCAGGTAGCAAATGTTTAAAAAAGAATAAAAGTTTAAAATGATAGGTTTTCTCCTGAGTTTCGGCACAAAAAACAACAACAAGAACCCCCCCCCAAAAAAATGGTAGGTTTTCAATTTGATAAAATTATGTATGTACCTTTAATATAGTCTTATGTAAAAAAGAGTTACTTCTTTTTTGCTAAAACAATATTTCATGCGTCAGCATGGGAAACCACTTCACAATCTGAGTTCACCATTTCTAGTTCAAATTTTGTGAGTGTCATTGGAAAGACCTGGAATTTATCAGTACGCACAAGCCATGCACTTCTATCTACTGGTACATCAGAGTGGCCCAAACATCTCTCAGTTTACTCCACCTGAATCTTTCCGTGGTCTGAGAGGAGATCAGAGACCAGTGTCGGTTCAGACTCTGCATCCTTTTGATTTCTTTATCATTCAGCGGTAGCCTGTACCCAAGCTCATTCAGACGGTCTAGGTCAGGGGCCAGGCTGCTGAATTTTAGCATCTGCCCCTGGAAACAAGATTTAAAAGCCAGTTTAGCACTATGGTCAGAAAAGGCAGAGTTCTTTCAAACTTCACAGTGACCTACTGATTTCAGGAAGAAGCAGGTCTTTGGTCTCCCTGCATTTCTGGGCCATTGACTTGTCATCTCCAGAACTGCCAATAAAGAAGAGTGGCGTCTCCTGACCCGTTTCCCCTGCTGCTACAGCTCCTCATGCCCTCCCACTGAACGTTTAGTAGTTCGCATGAATCACTTACTTGCTGATGGATGATAATTATGCTGATGACTGAAAAGGCATATTTCTGACCCTTTATATTCCATCTGTCTAGGCTATTCTGCTCCTTTATTATCTATTACCAATAAGAATATTTATAATGGTGGGGCACCTGGGTGGCTCAGTGGGTTAAAGCCTCTGCCTTCGGCTCAGGTCAAGATCCCAGGGTCCTGGGATCGAGTCCCACATCGGGCTCCCTGCTCAGCAGAGAGCCTGATTCTCCCCCTCCCACTCTCCCTGCTTGTGTTCCCTCTCTCGCTGTGTCTGTCAAATAAATAAATTAAAAAAAAAAAAAAAAAGAATATTTATAATGGTAACCATTATGAGAGTAACAGCTAACATTTCTTGAGCGCTTACCATGAATCAAATAATAGCATGAGAGCTTTACAGGTAATAACTCATTTTATTTGCAAAATAATCCCCTAAGGTAAGTACCATGAGTATTCTGACTTATTCTGACTTAATGATGAGGCTCAGAAATGGTTCATAAATTGCTCACAGCCACCCAGCCAGTACATGGTAGAGCTGGGTAAGTAAGAGCCACCGAGTACTTGCTAGATGGACTGAGATCCCCTTTGAGCTTTGAAGGCAACACCCAATATCCTAACAGCTTCAGTTTTAGGTCGTTGGCCCCAACCCTGAAGTTGGTGAGACGCAACTAACAAAGCATTCTATGCTCTCAGGGCTCCTCCCTCTCCTCAAACACAGGACAAAACGGTCTTTTCTGGTATATGTGTGAGCACCTGTAACTCCATCTAGGAATACAGGAAGCGGTAAATGGGAGGACACCCTTGACTGTGTGCATTTTCTCTTCACATGCTCTGCAACAGGCTCATTCCCCTAAAGACAGAATAAATCTTTCCAACTGTTGAAGTCAAAAGCGTAACAATTAGACGGCAGAACTGTCACGGGTAGATATCAGCAGTGAATGAAACTGACAGGCAGTGGTCCTTCTCATGGGGCTTACAGACAGAAGATACTATGCCGCTAATACTAATCCACGAGAGTCGTCTCCTAATCACATGAATGTCATTAAAATGGTATGTAAAAAATTTTGAAGAAAAAAAATAGTGTGCTATCAAACTGTTACATGGGGGAGCTTCAAGAAAAGAGGAAGCTTTCTTCAGAGAATGACATTGAACAAAATGACCAAAAATTCATTGCTTTTGGTGGGAAGGGAGCTGACAAATTCCAGAGAGAGGTGACGTTATGCACGCAAAGGCTAGGAAGTGCGGTGCCGGACACTGAGATGACCAGTGGGGAAGACGAGACCCTTTGGAAGATGGAAGCCAGGTCTACTGGGGGGTGAGGATCCACACTGGTCTCTACCCTGAGAGCAGTGGGAAACTGTGGAGGGTCTGAAGCAGAGGAATGATACGATAAAACTGGTGTGTCTATTGTTATCATTTTACTTACTGAATGTTTAAAACAATTCATAATTAAGTAAAACCCTTTAAAAGAAAAAGATCATTCTGGCAGCTGTGGGTTGGAGGGGTTGGGGTCGCCACAGAGAGGACCCTGGAGGCTGTTGCCAGGGTCCGAGACATTGGGGGCTTGTCTAGGAGTGGATGAGGGTAGAGATGGAAACGGGAAGTTCGAAGGGATCCACTGGGCCGGGGAAGGGATGAGAGGTGGGAGGGAGGAGTGAGCGAGGATTGCCCCTGGCTGGCTCTCATCGTGGAGCATGAAATCAGTGTGTGCACACTGCAGGAAAACAGAGCTGGCAAGGGTTTCTTTGTGAGCTCAAAAAAAAAAAGGAGGTCTAATGTGAGGAGTTGTGAGTATTCCTTAAGACTTTGAGGACAAGAGATAGAAGATCGGGGCCTAGGATTTGAAGGTACTTACCTTAAGTTCTTCCATCCTTTCCTGGATGGTTGAGAGATCAGATGAGTGGCTAGGGTCCTGTCCTTGTAATATTTCTTCAGCTTCTACTATCCAGGCCTCCAACACTTCTAAGCTCTTGGTAAAGGTTTCATAGTCAAGAACTCCAGTCTTTATTTTTTTCACAAAAGAAAATTGGTATTTAGATATCTAATGAAAGGGCAATTGGATATTGAAATTATTTTTCATATTTTTATGTCAAGTTTCCATCCTCAAGATGCCATAAGGCTACATGATTTAACTTTTCTTCTCTTCATTCATGTAATTTTTTGAAAACTTAGAATTACTCCTACATACTGTTTATGAATTGATCAGTTATTTTTAAAATATACTACCAAACAGAAAAATACTCTTATTCTTGGCAAAAACTTGTTATATAAATATGAATGTCAACACTAAAGCCACTTGGTATTTATTCGTTGGATGTATTTTACCCAGTACCATAGAAAGAAGCATTGCTTTTAGGGGCAAAATTACATTGTCAAGAACAGTGCAAGACTCCCACCTTCCCTTGTCCCCACTGGAACTTCCAAGTTCATTTGCTTTTTAATTCTTTGGTCTTGAATAAGGCCTTGTCTCAATGATGAGAAAACTTTCTTTTCCTGTGGTTAGGCTCAGATGTTATAGAAAGCCAATTGACAACACGTGTGGAATATGAGGTCGGTAACATACCTGTAACATAGTCTGCTGCTTGCAAAGGGCCTGCTCTAGGGCACACAGATGTTGACTCAAAGACAGCTGATCGGATCGAATGGCTGATGCCGCTGAAGCATCCACTTGCTGCTTGAGCTGCTCTCCCAGCTCATGCAGAACAAACAGGGAATCCTTCACTACCCCCAGTTCTTTGAGGAGATCCTACAGATGATGAAAATAGGCCCATTATGAAACAACGTGGTAAGGGCACTCCTTAAACTGATAATCAGCAAAGGGCCACGCATCTGGAAACACTCAATTCTTACTTGTCAAATTATTACACTAAATACACTTCACCTGCAGAAAAATAATGAGGGATTAAATCTGATTTTTCAAAATGGATGTGTGTTAACATTTTTAGACATACACGGACTATTCTATAATAAAAGCCACATAGGTTCATTGTAGGACACTAGGCCATGGGGGTTGGGGGAAGCGCAGGGAAACATACATAAGAAGACACATCCATAAGAAGAGCCAATAACCGGAAGCATTTGGGCATGTTTTTCCTCTCTTTTCATGTAGTTGATATCAAATCAAAATCAAAAACACAGTGCTACATTTTGCCTTCTCCTGTCGGATTCTGCACACACAGTGGCGGAGTTTGCCAATAGCATTTTCCACATGCATGGTCGCATTATAATGGTTACAACAGACCCTCTTGTCTCAGGGGAGCCTGGAACCCCAGTGATGGCCCTGGTGGGCAGGGACAGAAGCAGACGGCATCTCCACCCTTTTCCCTGGCTTCTCTTGCCTCCACTTTTGGTGGGACACTCTTAAATGCTCAAAATTTAAGCCAGTGGAAATTCTGCTTCTGGTTTCCATCTACCACTAAGAGATGACAAATGACTGGTTCTTCTACCTGTTGCTGGTGCTCCACCAGACATGGTGGAAAGAGTAGAGCCTGCTCTAGCTAGACAGCGATGCCTATGACAGGGAGAAAAACAAACAGAAGGAAGCTTTGACCTTGACACAGATCTTAGAACAATTCAGAGAAATAATTTGGAGTACTACCCCCTAAAATAGGTGTGATGTATCAACTCAGGAGGAGTGAAAATTAAAAATGACAAACCCTGTAAGGATAAACTATGTGGAAGGAGGAGAAAAAAGCCTTATGCTATCTTTAGTATTAAACGTTAGCTTTAAAGTGATTATTTAGGACTTGTGTGAAGGTATTAGAATAGGTCGAAATTTTTTTAAAAAGATTTTATTTATTTATTTGACAGAGTGGGAGAGATCGCAAGTAGGCAGAGAGGCAGGCAGAGAGAGGGTGGGGGAAGCAGGCTCCCTGCTGAGCAGAGAGCCTGATGCGGGGCTGGATCCCAGGACCCTGAGATCATGACCTGAGCCGAAGGCAGCGGCTTAACCCACTGAGCCCCCCAGGCGCCCCAAATAGGTTGAAATTTATGTGCTTTTTATAACTTGCTTAATTCTAATAAACTGATTTGGGAAAGTTTACAAGAAGATCTTTGGAACGAGTTCATTAAAATAAAGACAAATAAGGACAAGCAGAAGAACCATGTAATGGGTGAAATAAGAGACTGTTTCTGAAAACCTAAAGTAGGTTATTGGCAACTTCAGTGAAAAAAAAGAAATATTAAAAAGCTATTAAAAAGAGGCATACCAGTAAATCAGGAGAGAAAGACTTCTTTCCACCATTAAATTCTTAGAAGAAATAATTATGTCGATGCTTACATAAGAAATAATGGACCTAACTAGGTAATACTTTTCATGGTGGATTTTTAAAAGATAAAACATTACTCTCCATACTCTCTTATTCCTTAACTGGCAAATGTGTAAAAACAACCAACCTAAATCTTCTCAAGGATGGCGTGCCATTAGGAAAGATGGGAAAACAGCTCTCTGTGAAAATGAAACAGGGGGAGGGACCTCTTAAATCACATACATGTGCAACTGGGTTCTGAAGCCCCAGCAGGCTCTTTGGTACTTAAAACCGTTTTTGGATAGCTGTCCCACATACTGAGGCATACCAGAAGCTTGCACACATCAGCCCTGGCCTTGCTAAACTTGAGATGGCTGAGCATGGCATGGGGAGAAAACACCAGTGTCGTCAAACATACATTGCAATCTTCAATCCACGTCGCAACCTCGTCATCAGCAATGTCCTTGTTGGTGGCCGCCTTCAGGAGCTCATTGGTTCGGTTGTCCTGCTGCTGCACCGCCGAGGCACACTGCTTGGAGTAGTCCTTGTACCTCTGCCAAAGCTGAAGTAGGGCTTTGCTGGCGTGCAGCTGCTCAGCGATCTCTTCCAGCAAGTTATTCCATCTGGAAACAATAGCCAACACTCACGGGCAGATTAGCACCTCTTACCAAATGCTGTTATTTGCTCTTTTATTTTTCACGATCCTGCTTCATGTGACTATGGGAATAATTCAGAGATGTCTCATTTCTATTTGACACAATGCACACTCACAGTTCAAGGGCAGATAACAGAAATGTGGTAATCTTTGGGTATACAGCAGTTTTCATCTATTTCTAAGTCTCTTCACTACATTTAGTTACCTTCAATTCATTTGTGAAAATTGAAACATGAGCAGAATAGAATGTCTAAAGCTCAAATGCAAAATGCCGGCAAGTTTTAATTCTATTGTTATTTGTCATAAGGCTGTGATATAAATAATGCATAATAGTGCAAAATTAGCATGTTCCATACCTCATATTGACATCTTTTAATGTATTGGTAAGAGTTTCTGTCACAGGTGGGTGACACTCTTTTAACAGTTGGTTGGTGACAGAGCCAAACCTCTGTAAGTTCTTTTCCTGTTTTTCCAGATCATCTTGAAGATTCTGCCCCAAAATTTAAAAAAAAAAAGTGCCACAGATGACATAACAGGATATAAATTCTAATAATCATTTAAAAGTAACTTATAGCTGTTTCTATAAATATGTACATATAAATACATAAACCATTATTTTGTTCCGATGCTTTGTAAATTTTCTTTTGATCATCATTTCTTCTTTTATAATTTGGTTCTTATAGGTGTGAAAAGGGATTCCTAATAGCTAAACGTTCTTACAGTGGCATCTGGAATTCTGCTGGGAAAGCTCACATGAGTGCCCCTGTCCGTCTCCTAGTAGGAAGCTAGGGCCATGATATGGACGCAGTCTGTCACACTGATTCTCTTTGCTATTCAAAGTCAAAACCCTGGTCCCCATTTTATTACATATCTAGAGTTCTTCTACAGGAAACTCCAGATAATCAGACCTTAAGAAGTCCTGACTTTTCTGAGTACCACTTGTAAGTTCTATCTCTGGGTGTTCTTCCTTGCAAAGAATATTTATTAGACAGGCTACAGACTTGGCACAGTCTTCTACCAAGGACTAGCGAAGGATCTTGAAGAAAGGCACTTCCCTGCAAATACTGCTGGAGGGCTGGACTCAGTTCTTAATAAAACCCCATAGGTGACGGAGGCTACAAAAACCAGTTCTATTTAAGACCAGTATCTGATTGCCATCAAATCAAAACCCTTTCATATCTTAAGACAGCCTGTGCTGGTGTTAAATACGGAACAGGCTAAATTAAAGAGTACTTCTAATCGCCTCAAAATCATAAAATCTGTTTTCAGACTTACTATTCTCAAAGCAAGTTTTAATGATTCTCAGTATCTACAACAACTATTTAAGGTTTAAAGAAATTGTGGATATACACCTTTGATCTCTCCTCCCTCCTACCCCACCCTCAAGAAAAGGCATTCCCTGATCAGAGCATGTGTGTATGAGGTCAGCAACATGGAAACTTTCATAGCCAAGCCAGGGAAGTGGACAGACGTCAGGAGGGTACATGCTGGGCTCTTGCTGGCGTCCCATCCCTTGAGGGCCTCTCCTGCCCATCTTGTATCCCAGTCTGCATGACTTAGCCAGGGAGAAAGAGCGGCCACAGGTGAGAGAGAGTGCCCCATCAGTGAATGGTGTGCAGGGCAGTGAGGGCAGCAGCTGATTCGAAGGCAGGGGCCCGAGGTAGGAGACAGTGCTCTGCACAGTCCGACAGCAGCCTCAATCCTGTACGAGTTCAGTGATGACGGGCACCCAGGAAACTAAGCAGGAAGTGTTAGCAAAAGAGGCTTATGTGCACGCATCGGACAGACTACTGCTACTATACCGAATGAAAAGAAAACAAGTTAATAGTTTACACGTTTACCATTTTGGCTATCTTTCTCTTTGCTTTCTTTTTATTCCCTTAGAATATGTTTGGAGAAGCAGGATAAAGAGAGAAAGGGAAGACATAAAGGCGGCGGCAATAGATCAAGGAGGTTGGCTGGATGTAAAATCATTTTATAAAATGTATTCATGGGGATATTTATATCACAGAATTTTAAAAATCATTTAGTTATATAGCAACTAAAAACCATTTAGTTATACAGCAATCCAGAAATTTGGTGCCCATGGGAAAAGTTACAAACAAAGCAGGTTAATTTTAAATATTTAAAAATAATTAAATGCCAACAATCTACAGCAACATTCCAGGGTGCTGTTCAAGTTTGCTTTTTTTTTTAATTTTCTCAAATTCAAAAGAGTATCAAGATGGGTTACATTCATTCCTTACCTGAAGATTGTCTACCTGAACTTGTACAGCTTCTAAAGAACCAGTCAGCAGACGGAAACGGGACAGAGAGTATCTAGCCTCCATGAGGTAGCTGTTGATCTCGTCAAAGGCCACCTTGTGATTATTCCATTGGTCAAACACGGACTTCAGCAATATCTTTAATTGTCCAACCTTTTGAAAGAGATAGGTGTTTCTTAGAATTGCATATTTAAAATTTTAAATATTTAAAATGATAGAATACATATTTAACTGATGGAAACATTAATATTTAAGAACTTCATCAGGGTTTCTAGCATTATAAAGAAATGAGAAAAAAAAAAAAGACTTGAAAGACCGCCACAATGAAATGTATGTCTTTTTGTGAATTTTGACCACTCAGTCTAAATTAAAATGCTTTAAAAGGTAACTTATAACCTTTGTATGTAAATATATGTAATATATATGCTATATATCTATGAAATATAAAAATGATAAAAGATCAATATATTTAATTTGGAAATATATTATTATTTTAAATGCATTAACTCATTTAGTCCTTGTAACAACCTTATGAGATGGGTGTAATTATAATTCCCATCCTATAGATAAAAAACCAGAGGCACAATGAGGTTATGAAAATCACCTAAGATCATACTTTTGGACTAAGAGAGATCTAGGCAGTCTGGTCCCAGGAAATGAAATAAAAATCTGTCTATCTATCTAGCTAGCTAGCTATCTCCTCCCTCATTCTCCTCTATCTCTTTTTATCTCACATAGGCACGTTCACACACACACACACACACACACACACACACACACACACTCAAATTTATATCTTAAGACAAAACATCTAAGAACATTCTTTCCTGAGACTTATCTGCAACAGAAAATTCAGGCTCTTAGTTTGGTCTGTGTCATTTGGAAAGACATCTACTTTGGATTTCCCAAATGTCACCCTTAATCTTCTAAATGTAATCCTGGTGTTATTAAAAGAGTAATGTTCATAATAATTCATAATAATGTATATCATAATAACGGTTTATTATAGGAAATATCCAAAGCTAGATTTTATTTTAAAAAAGAGGTTAATAGGGGTGCCTGGGTGGCTCAGTCGGTAAGCATCTGACTTGGTTTTGGCTCAGGTCAGATCTTCCAGGTTGGGAGATGGGATGAAACCCGTGTTGGGTTTCACACTCAGTGCGGAGTCTGCTTCCCCTCCGCTTCTCCCCCTGTGCATGCATGCGTACTCTCCCTTTCTCTCACACACATAAATAAAAATCTTAGTTAATGAAGTATACTTAATACAAAAAGATAATGTAGAGGTTCAGTAACTATTTACTCAGTTATTTTAGGAAAACTAAAACGCCATGACATGTTTGGAGTCAGGTCTCCTCAAGCAATATTACCATGTGGTCTAAATTTGCCCATGTTTGGCTGAGCTCCCGCAGCGCGCTCATGACAACACCAGAGACTTCTTCTTTCTTGTTCTGAATCAAAGCAAGTCCATTCTGCTCAATTTTCTCCACCTCTTTTTCTTTTGCTTTAATCAAATCTTCTAGATCCTGAAAGATTAAAATAGTCATTTTAAATTGTTCTATTATGGAACTCTGTGGTGCACTACAGCCTGATATCCCCCCAAGTTTAAGTAAAATTTGATTACTTAATAGATAGAGACATGATAACATGTAATTTTTTTCAAAGAGTTAGAAGAAAAGAAATATATGTGGGAAATAGTAATATGATTTATATTCTTAAATTCATGTTGGAAAAGTTACATAGTCCTAGGCCTAAGGATAAAATGCAATAGGATAATATTCTTGATATCTGAGTTTAGTTACATTTCTGCTACGATTAAGCTGTGCCACTTTTAAGTTAGAAACTGCCATTGGGTCTGTTTCTTCAGACAGAAAATCAGAATCTCTTTTAGCCTTTCTTTCTCCCTGATTCTATGTGATTCTGAAAGATTATGGGCTTTTTTTTTTTTTTTAATGAGTCAAACTCTTACTTTCTTTGGGATGTGCATTTACAACAGTATAAAATCTTCAAGAAAGAAAATACAACGAGGCAACGTTCTAGAGATCATCCTTAATCATACATTATAATCCCACTTATATTTTAATGCCATTGGAAACTTTGGAAAGCTCAGTATAGCAGGCTGAGCCTGCTATTAACATTTTATGGATGAATAAATGGGAGATCAAGTCACACAACCTGTCTTGGGTTACAGAGCTGGGGAGGCCGGGAGATGGGATCAGACCTCGAGCCTCCTGAGCCTATTGACTCCCAGGTGAGTCCCCAGATGGGACTTGTGGAAAGGATGTAAATCCCAAGTCTGGGCGATGTGAGAGGCCAAATATTAAAGCATGGGTGCATTCTTTTTTTTTTTTTTTTTAATATTTTATTTATTTATTTGACAGAGAGAGAGAGAGATCACAAGTAGTCAGAGAGGCAGACAGAGAGAAAGGGGGGAAGCAGGCTCCCTGCTGAGCAGAGAGCCCCATGCGGGGCTCGATCCCAGGACCCTGAGATCATGACCTGAGCCGAAGGCAGAGGCTTAACCCACTGAGCCACCCAGGCGCCCCAACATGGGCGCATTCTTATATTCAGAAGTGTATCTCCGGAACTCGAGATGTAGATACGTAGGCCTTGGAGGGTAAAGTGAAGAAAATCCCAAAATAATATACATGAAAAACATCTTTAAGCTGTTAAAAACTTGGCAAATGTAGGATAGTATTTGTCTATTCAGTTATTTGGTAATCAGCTGTGAGTCAGTACTGATTTACTTATTTTTCTTTCTTTAATTATCATGAGGCTATTTTTTTCTTGATGTATTAATTAGAAATTCATGTAATTAGCAGCCTGAGGAAATCATTTTTGTTTTTAATATTGTGCTTTCACTTCCACTTCATAATTCTGTCAATATTTTGACAGCTTTGATAATTAACCAGAGAATGGAATATAGTGATTACTAGAGTTATGGGTCCTTTATACAGTGTGGAAAACAACATTAATTTTACTATTTAAGGATTTCTCTCTCTACTTCTTTGAAAGGGTAACCATAAACAATCCTTCCGACATGTCTTTAATATGATTCTAAAATCCAGCCACTGGAATTAAATTTATCCTATTTATCCATAGATGTTAACTTTTTTAAGGAACAATATTAAATGAATGATCCGTTGCTTAAAAACATAGCTCTAAAATGGCCTGCCTGCTTATGTTGGCATCAAAGCAAATCCCAGGAAGGAAACAAGACTGAAATATATATTTTGTACAAAATGAAAATGTGTTTTCCTTTCCTTTCAATAATAATTAAAAGACGATTTTGTTTCTGATCAATGAAGAAAAAAGCCAAACCTAACATTTTTTGCTACAATAAATCATTCTTAACCTAAGTTAATTCATAAATATTATTTTTATGTTGGTTTAAATTAATAAATCACCTCTGAAGGAGTGGGAAAATATTCAAGATGTTTTAAACAAAATAAAGCTTAAATCCAGTCACCGATTTAAGTCTGCTGGCTTGAATTTCACACTTCGGTCCAGAGGAACAATTTCTCAAAAATAACAATAAATTTTTATCAAGGTTTGTGGTACTGCCAAATAGAACCTGCCATTAAGCTGTTGTGATTTTTATGTGATGCCCAAAATAACTGTGTGGGTTACTTTCATTCCGTTCTTCGTTTAAAAAAAAAAAATGGCTACATTTGAAATCATTAATTGGCATTGTGTGTGAAGGTCTTTAAACCACATTTTAAGCTTTTCCTCCTGACACTGCCTGGTGTGACCTTCTATGAGACTAAAATTTGGGTCTGGAAAAGAGTACAACTTGGCCAAGCTTCCACGACATTTTCTGATAGTAACGTCTCTGTTAAATAGAAGACACGGCCATGAAAAGAAACAAAATGGAAAAATGGCAGGAAAAAAGTATATGAAAGAGAAGAGAAAAATAGTGAGAAAAAGTAGGAGAGAAAGAAGAAAGAAAGGAAAAGTTAAAGTATTATTTCAGTTTTAACAGTAGAATTTTATCACAAGGACATAACAAAGAAGCACTAATCTTACTGATCTTCACACTTAAATGATCTTTTAACTTGAATGGAAACCTTTTAATTTAGGAACTTAAGAGGTCTGACTTCTCCCTCAAAGTAAAATTGTGAAATTCTGGATTTTTTGGTACATTTTGATATATAAAATTGGTGGCCAAAATTAGAAACACTACTGGTCCCTGGAAAACAGGAAATGCAGTGAGAATCCTTGATATATAGTTTCAGTCTTCAGTGTTCTACACACCCATCTTCTGATGTGAAGCATTTTTTAAAAATTTCTAGGTATTTCTCTATATGATGGTTTTCTTTGTCACTTTTATACACTCTGGAAATGACAATCCATTAGATTGTCAGCCCAGCACAAGGGCATCTGCTTTTCCTTTTCTGAATGGAAAAGCTTTCACCGAGAGCTTAAATATATCTCTCTTTACATGTGTCCTCAGAAAAAAATGCTAGTTGGAAGGAAGATCATTATGAAAGGTCTCTCAAGATTTGGGGAAAGGAGTGTTTCTGTAACACTACTTCACAGCTGAGTCTTCAACTGGTCTTTGGAAACACTACAGAGAACCATCATAGCTAATCTGTACATTAAAAATTATTGTATTATTTTAAAATTTTACTATAGCACTACCTCTAATAACTCACATTTCTTTTGTATAAACAAGAACACCTGGTCAAATGTTAAGTGTTCCAAAGTCACTGGAAGACATTTAGAGTACACTCACTCCATCTGAACTGGAGATTCTTATCACTAACAACAGAACAAGCAGAAGCTGTTGAATGCTTCCCGTGGGACATGGGAGAAGACACCAAGGTCACCTGTGAAGCACTCGGCTCCTTAGAGCTGATAACCGAATTCCTTCAAGTCTCTAGTGTTAACTTCCCTTTACAGGAGATACAGACGAGAGAAAACCAATGTCAATGACATCTTAAAGGAAGTCCACAGGCTAATCCCAAACCGGGGACCAGTCTACGGGGACCAGTCTACAAGTTAATTGTATTTAAAAAAAATACTAAAGGGGCTTTAGAGATCTGATAACAAACGTGGCATGTGGACATTTTTGTACCCTTATGTGATAGATTAACTGGAAAAAAAAAAGACATTTTAAAGAAAACTGAAGAAACAATATTATGAATTGAGCATTGAATGATATTAAAGGATTATTGTTAAAGTTTTTGTGGTGATAATGATGTTATGGATATATAAGAAAACATCAGTTTCTTAGAAATGTGTATTGTGGTAGGCAGGAAGAAAATAACATGATATCTGGGGTTCACTGGAAAATATTTAAGAAAAGAAATAATTCAGGCAAAGACATCAAAATCTTAACTATTAAATCTGATGATCAGTATAGAAGGGTTAGAAGCATTCTCTCTACTTAGGAGTATGTCTCGAAATTCTCATAATTTCAATTATTTTAAATAGGTGAAAGTACATAATGGTTAAAAAAACAACAACCCTATAAACTCATATAATCCAAGAAATTCATTACTGAGCAAAACTTTTTTCAGTATTTAATCTCAACGCCAGGGCCTGAGTCTTCCTTTGACCTATGCCATGAAACCGTGACATTCACCTGTCAGCCACCTGGACAAGTTACCTGACAGTCTTTCATTGCGTTCTGAACTGAAGCCTGATCTCCAATGCGATGCTGTTGCTTTAGTCTGTTTTCCTGGGTTTCATACCAAGTTTTCAGACTTTGTACATCATTTTCATATTCTGACCAAGATTCCAATAAGCCTTCCAACATCTGGATCTGAAAAAAAAACATAACAAAATGAAATGTGCAATTTCATTTTAAACTCAAGACACTATTAGCTTTAAATTAAGAATTCCTTAAATACAGTTTATTGTATATATGATTAAGAAACAAATCTTACCAAGTGTGAATCAGTGGCTAGTGTTGGTAAGAAAGTAAAGAAGTCAACTTAAAGGGAAGGCAAAGTTAAGAGGCATCTTTAGAAAAAGTAAAACAACATGTAGTAGGTGAAGAATAGGGGATGTGTAAGAGAAGATAATTAACAAGAGTAAAGAGTGTTTAGAGCAATGGGATTCAGTGGTGTCCCCTGCAGTAATGTTTGCATGCTATGTGTAGCTAAGCTACTTGTGAAATGAATTTTCTTTACACAGTGTGCCTGTTCTTGGCATTTTCAGGTAATTATGGACAGGAGAGGCTTACCTTCTCAGTTACGAGACCCTGCAGGATTTGCCAACTTTTGTTCATGGCTCCCAGTTGCTCAGCAAAATCAGTCTTATCACTGCGTTTACTTTCCACATCCTGACTACTGATTTGTAGCACGGACTGATTCACAAAATCAACTGTCAACTGTTTACAGTTAATATCTATCTTAAAACCCTGAAAAGGGAAGGGAGAAAATAAGAAAACAAGGTTATGCATATAAATATCTTATATTTCATCAGGAATTGGGAAGCCTCAAGTAACCTTAAGATTAATATCATTTCCATGATTTAGTCCAAATGGCAAAATCTGTATATATTTACATAATGCATTATTATCAGAAGTTCATTATATATCACATATAACCATCCTGAATTTATAAATTTTGAATTTATAATTACACTGAATTTGAACTTATAAGAATTTGTGAAATTTTGAATTTATTAGTATGTTGAATATGAATACATGGATATATTTTAGGTAGGGGATGTAGAATTGGATGAATTGTATAATCTCACTATAACATATTTATAAATTATACCATTTTCTTCTTTAGAATTATCTTTTTTGTTTCAGATGTAGAATTCAGTTATTCAGCATTTGCTTATAACACTGAGTGCTCATCACATCATAGGTTGTCCTTAACCCCCATCACCCAGTTACCCCACGCTCTCACCCTCTTCCCCTTCAGCAACCCTCAGTTTGTTTCCCAGAGTTAAGAGTCTCTCATGGTTTGTTTTATCATTTTTTAAATGACACAAAATCATATTCAAAACTATTTCTAATACCGGACAACTTTTCCATGTCTACAACTAGGGAGGCAGTTTTCTTACCCTTGTTCCCCTATCTGGTCACTATACATGAAACATACACTCCAAAATCTGATGTCTATAATTTGAGCTTTTTGAATTCTTTTAACAAAATAGTCCTAAAATATAAAAAATTAAAAGAAAAAAAATGTCCCATTACCTTATATTTCTGAAGGTATTCATGAATTGCCTTGTAACCTATTGAATTTTTTATATTCTCTTCATCCTTTTGAATAACATTTTCCATGAGAGAAATCCAAGTCATAACTTCAGAAATGGCATGGCGGGAAGGCAGCTTATCCATTTGGAGCTGACCAATAAGAGACAAAACAAGACACAAGTGTTAAAATTCAAACCAGAATCCTGCCAACCTAAAAACCCCCCATTAATACTTGCCAGTGTACCAACAGAGATAACCATTCTTAATAACATCTTTGGATCTTAACCTCATTAGAAGCCTCAAATTAAATATCAGGCAAACACGGAACAATAATAGTCCTCTTATGTTCACTTGACATCCAATACTATAAACATTGTATAAACATTAACTAATTAATCAAAATACCAGTGAGAAGAAAATATTATTCTTATTTTATAGCTAGTTTTATGAGTTAAAAAAAAAACTTAACTACAAAACATTCAACAGATGTATTTTATTAATTATCTTGTAAAAAATTTCTGTGTATTATGACTCAGGAATGTTAAAGGAAGAAAGAAAAATACCACACTACAAACTATCATTTTCTAGACTTTTTGGCACTCTAATATTTATTCCTAAGAGAATGGCCAATTTCTTTACTCTTTAACTAAAATATACTTAGAATTCTGACTCTTACTTGATCTATCATACATTTTTGTAGATACTTATTATAATGATTTGGAGAAACAAAAGCCATCATTTAAAATATTTATGGACCTCTATGTGGTGTGGGAAGATACAGGGATGAATGTGAGATGTTTCCTGCCCCTAGAAATGTGTAGCTGCTGCTTAGGAGGGTAAGACAGACATCAAACACAGCTATCATACCTGGTAGAGGGATGAGTATCAAAGAGAGAGAAACATACATTGTCTGGGATCCAGGGAAGGGAGGTATATTTCCAGATAAGGAAAGTGCATACTTAGTGAATGTCAATTGTTCTATTGTAGGTGAGATTATAGGTCTTTTATGCATATTGTGATTGAATCCTCAGAACTACTCACTTTATGAGGGAAGTGTAATCTCTCACATTTTACTCATGAGAAAACAGAGAGTTTAAACAAGGCCAGATGAAGGTTCTGTTCTACATCCCACACACACAGACAATAAAGAAGTCCTTGGAAGATATGACATCTGTACATATGGCTTTATAGAACAGTTCACTTTTAGTATGCAGAACAATGAAAGAGAGAAAAGGCAAGATGTCCGTGACAAAGCTGATTTAAATTTCTAAGTATAAGCAGGTTAGCTCTCTTTCCATTTAATACTGCTTAAATCAACTATTATGATTTAAACTTCTGATTATTTCTATACCTGGTGGAGCTTCTCCTGTACAGCGGGAATATTTGTCAGCAGGTCAGTCCACTGGTTATCAATGTGTGACAGCTCTGAACGTAGGGCAGCTGTGTCTACTTTCTTTAATCGAAGAAGCTGATTTCCAGTGCTCAGAACAGATGATTTCAGGGAAGATTTGGCATCCACTTCTTTGGAAAACTCCTAAAAGAAGTAGCAATGTTCAAACTGGGAGTAAATAGTCTGACCTTTAACTTAAGGAGAGAGAACCATTTACTATGTAAACAATTTTTCTTTACATCTTGAAGGGGAGTTACGGTAAGCACTCCAGAGAAAAACAAAAAAAGCACACCATTGCCTTGAACGAAAGCCAACAACATAGCCATTCCTTGAAAACTGCTCTAATGAGGCAATGCTGAAGCCTATTATTTTGCACAAGGATTGACCACACATAGTTAACATTGACAAATTCTCTCCAGGTTGGCTAGGTATAGAAAATTTAATCAAATGATTTAGAACCTTAGGCTTACCAGGAAAGCATTTAGATGATCACGGACCATTTCCAGTTCTTGTGGGACTGTCACAGATTGTTGAGTCCAAAATTCTAGCCTGTCTTTTGCAGATTGTAACCAGTGAGTAAGTTCTGCAGATTCATTTTGATATCTGTAATTATATTAATGAGCCTACTAAGTAAACATCCAATATATCTCTTCTGCTAACCCATTTTATACAGCAATGTCAATTTTAAAACAAGAGACATGACAGGTTTGGGAGAATAATCTCTTGCATTCACACTCTCAACTTCCCTTCAAATTTATACTGTAAGCAAGTTTCAGTTTTCCCATTTCTAAGCTGAATGTAAATATATATATATATATATGTATATATAAACACACACACATATATATATGTATATACATACACACACACCTTTTTATACCTACTATATACACATACTTACTCCTTCACATTGAGGCTATTCAGAAAATATTAAAGTTCTTAAAAATAAAGGTGGTGTAGAAATAGAGCGTTTCACTATGTAAAATCAGTCTGCCCTTGAGAAACTTTACTTTCTCAAACAACACTTTCCTTCTACCTCTCCTTCTAAGGTTTTACTTTGACCACCATGTGTAGTCCATAGGCAAATGTCCAAGTGAAAGTGCATTAGGCACTTGCTTCCCTGCCCACTTCTAATTCCTTGTTTATACAATTACATAAGAATCCAAGTGGGGGTTTTGTTTTTGCCTTTATTTTCCAAAATACAAAGTAAGTGCCCAGATAAGAGATCATCTTTTTCAAGTCTCATGCCCACTGATCTTAAATGCCTATATTAAATATTAAATGCCCTATAAAGACTCTTCAGCACTAACCTACAGTGATATATAATAGTCACCGTGTTACCTGGTCCAGTGTTTCAACACTGTTTCCAATCTGTGAAGCTCCTTAGACACTTTGTTGGTATTACTTAACCAGTGTTCTCCAAGTTGGTTTAGCTGGCTTTCTAGATCTGAGCAGCTAATGGATATGAACAGTCGTTTCCCGTCGTCTAATACCTGATATAATTTGGGCTGGTATTCATTAAGGCTGGATTTCAAATGCTAAAATTGATTGAAAATACTGGGTTAAAAGTTTGGATGATGCAATTTTTCTCTTTAAGAATTACAGTATCTCTGGTGCCCCATAATGTTCCCACGCCCTGTTAGTCAGACTTCAACTATTTGCCCCCAAGTAAGATTAGAAACTTTGAAATGGTTCATCCATATCTAAGTATAGATGTTACTCTTTCTTCTTTCTTTTCTTTTTTCCTTTCCTTTTTTTTCTTTTCTTTCTTTTCTTTCTCTCCTCTCTTCTCCTCCCCTCCCCACTCCTTTCCTACCCCCATCCCCTCCCCTCCCTTCCTCTCCTTTCCTTTCTTCTTTTTGTAGTAACTTCAGGTGCATTTAAAACTATGAAGCTGTAAGAATACCATGACACCAGCATAACACCGCAGAAAATGCTTGGTGGCGGCTGAATTTTCAAAGAGCTCTCGTTTAAAAAAAAAAAAAAGAAGAAGAAGAAAGCTCTTTCTTATGTTCTATTATAAAGCAAACACTTAAAATCCATCTGCTTTCAACAATGTCAACAGCTTGAAATAAAAGTAAAAATACTTAATGAAGTATTTGATTTCAAGTTTGCTTAGATTCCATTAAAACCATGGGAAAGTTTCGAAAGAAGAATGGCCACTTTTCGCACACCAAGATGCCATCGGACGCTGACCTGGTAGAGTGTTATCCGGTCGATGAGCCTGTCCTCGCTCTCTTCCACCAGCCCCACACTCGGGATGCTGCTTTCCACAGCCTCCAGCTGTCTGCTGAGCTCCTGGTGATCTTCATCCAAACGAGACCATGTCTAGAAACACAGTATCGGTCTGTGAGCTAAAGAATCGCAGTTCAGGAACAGGATCCTCTTTTGCGTGCAAAATAGGCTTTCAACAGATTCTCTTTAAAGTTATGTGGGAGCTGTTTATATTGGAGGTTTGCTCTGAGAAGCAAACGATGGCTCTGAAGCACGTGAATCAGATGGCGACCTCCAAAAACACTGTGAACGGGATTTCAATCTACAACTAATCCGCTGTGTGAACACAGGCAAGTTACTAAACCTCTCTGACCCTCATTTATAACGTTAAAAAAATGGGGCTAATATAACTCTCTTGTCCATCATGAGGATTAAATGGAATGATTGTACCCAGGGCACCTGGAACACAGCAGGCCTCTGATATGCATGGTTTCATTATTTATCATAGTGACGATGTGCGTATGATTTAAACAAAAGGGAAGAGGGTGCTTACTTCATATAGTAAAGTGAATACATGACATTCACAAATAGAAAAAGCCACCACAGACATTTGAGAAACAGAAATATACAGTGTAGACATTCTACTAAGGACAAATCCCACACCACTCCTAAATTCTGATTTATACTTTAGCCGAAACTGGAAAATCTTTTTAAAAATCATTTGCAGGCTTTTTCAATCATGTACAGCAAGGTCGACGGTTTTTTAATCTGACTGTTGAAACCCCAGGTGTCTTCGTGCCCTAACTACAGTCAGTATGGAGGGAAGCTAGCCGACTCAAGGTGCAGCAGAGCCTTTATCCAAATAGAAATAGAAGGACAAGAGGGACAGGGCAGAACGCGATGCTGAGTCTGAGGGAGTTCCAAAGTTCTATGAGGTGCATGGTGTGGGTAAACAGGTCTTGTCTTAATGGCACGTTCTGCAGTTGAGTCTGCTGTGGGGAAGGGAGTCCATGGACAGTCTCACCTCCAGAATGTACTCCAACTCCACGCCCCTCTTGTGAGCCTGCTTCAGTACAGCGGAAGCCTGTGCCATCAGTTCCGTGTGGAACCGTGTTTCCTGTGGGACTGCAAAGCTGATGATCTTTCTGAAGAGCGTTTCAGTCAAGATCATATGAGATTCCAGGCCCTGAAAGTATTCCTGTAAGTTTTTGGGGACAAAGAGGTCAGCGACTCATACATATCCCACCCGACAACAAAAGCTGCTTTAGACGTGAAAGCTGGCGGAACTCAGTATCCGAGCACTGTCTCTCCAGCCCGCTGCCCCCCACTTCATGCAGGCACTCACACCTTCCAGCAGAGAAGGGGGCTTCAGTGCCCTCACCGGCCTCCTGTCCCTTCACTCAAGGACACCTATACACACCGGGCTGCAGACACTCTGCCCCCCTGGACAGAGCTCTTCAGGCGTGACCAGCTGCTAACACAGTTCCTCTGCCCTCTCAAGGCCTCATCCCTGTACAATCTGGGAGACTCTCACTACTCCCACCACACACACTGGCCTTCCTTATCCCGGGACACATTAGCTCGCAGGCCCCTGTCTTCGGTCTCTGTCTTTACTCTGTACTTCCAAGATGTCCTCACTCTATACATTCATGACTTTCCTTCCTCTGTGTCTAGGCTGGAGCTCTACTTTCCAAATTCCCAGAGCATTCGCTGTGCTCCAATACTCACTGCCAAGCACAGCTCGACAAGTACCTATTGGTATTATACAGTTTTAAATGTCCCTTATATTATACCCACACACAACAGAATGATAGGCCTTGGGCAGTCCTACAAACGTGTTTCGAACTGTTACTTTTTATGTGTAAAAGGCCCTAGAGGAGGTAAACAGGGCTTATCCCATTTTCTGTTCCTCCACTGTGGGTGAAGTTGAAGACCTGAAAACTGATAACAGTGTTTAGTGCTTACTATATGCTGAAACTCCATCAATGCTTTACTGATCAACTCGGTTAACCCTTATAACACCTCTTCGAGGTATGGAATTCTATTTCCCATTTGGTGGGTGAGGACACTGAACTGCCCAGGCTATAGAACATGCTATGTTCAAGGACACTGCAGAGCTCTCTGTCAGAAATAGTCTGGTCAAAAGAAGCCAGAATCTTCATTTTTTAACTCACAATTATTATATCAGAGAATCTTAAAGCTGGACGAGAACTTGGAGGTCATTCAGCCCAACATTCACCAAAAACTGATATTCCTTTTATAACCCGATCTCCCCCTAATGGCCTTGGATGGTCTTCCCATGGCCAGAAGGGTTGTCTGCTCAATGGCAGTGTTCCTTTTAGAGTTCTTTACCTATTGGGCCTACGTCTCTGTTATTTATACTCATTGATCCTAGCTTCCTCTCTGGAATAACTCAGGATGATATTTTATTACTGTTGTCAGAGATTTGAAGAAAACCAGCTGTGAACTTTAAAGCAATGTTTTCAAAGCCAAATGATAAGGCTTTAATAAATCACAAAGTTTTGGACAAAAATCTCTGGGAAAAATAGCAAGAAGTACACCCCACCCCCCTCCCCGCCAAAATTCACCTTTATAAGCCACCAGAGCTACATAATGGTAGAATGTTAACTATCTATATCCCAGTGGGCTTTTCAAAATTTCCATGTATGACATTCCTACAGTCTGAGAATTTGGGTTTCTGGACTGGTAAAACTACTCCTTCTGTAGTCATTCCAAAAATGCAAGAGTTATTTGTATGCACATTAAACAGGCATTCCTTTCCTAAGGAGCAGTGTCTAACTTGAGCTTGGCAATGGGACATACTGAGGGCAGCCTCAGGCATACCACGTTTGATCACATAGTAAAAGGACTCGTTGTCCCCAGGAATAAACTCTTTGAGGCCCACAGCAACCAGAGGAACATGTGCTTATTGGCCAGAAATGCCGAGTGATGCACAGATACAGATACCCAGTCCCACAGCTGGGTAGGTAGCTCTGCTTTCCCAGGGCACGATGAGGAGCCTTTGGCCAGGACAAGAGAAGCATTTTCTCCAGAATACTTAGGGCTAGATGAATAAATGGGCATATAAGACACAAGGACAAATCAAAAGAGTTAAGAAGGAAGCTACGAACTTTGAAGAAAGTCAAGTTTCCCACTGGTTGCAGTAAATGAAGGGGAAAAGCCTGGTTTATACTAATGAGGAAGTGATAATTAAAATTACTAGGAATGCTGGTATTCTTTTTTTGTTGTTGTTGTTAATTAAGTTTAAGCTCCGCACCCAGCATCAAATCCAACACAGGGCTTGAACTCATGACCCTGAGATCAAGAACAGAGCCAAGATCAAGAGTCAGACGCTTAACTAACTGAGTTACCCAAGTGCCTCTGCATTCTTTTTTAACTCGCAAAGTTATAGGACCATATCCTCCATAATTTTTCTGTGCTATTTAGTGTCCACAGGTTTGAATATACATTTGTTGACTATTTTAAAGAGTGTTTTATTCAAGGAGGAACTCATAAAAGATTAATAATAGGTTTTACTAGGTAGATACATATCAGTGAGCAAGAATATGCTTTCACAACTACATTCTCTCTCTCTCTCTCATTCTCTTTACCTTATGTTTATCAAGTAGTTGTTGAATTTCCTCTTTGGAGGACACGATGATTTTCTGGTCACCTGCCATCTTCTCCTGTCCAGTCTCCAGCAGATCAGCCAGATCTTGTAGGGCCCTTTCATACTGACTCTTAAGTGCAAGATTCTGGTTCAGCCCACTCCGCCGGGAGCCAATGGTCACCATCAGTTCATCATACGTGTCCTACAAAATAGAAACAGTGATACTCACTCTCAATTCATGTGTTGACTTTTTAATTTTTTTAATGTTTTTAATTACTTTTCAGTGTACTAGAATTCATTGTTTATGCACCACACCCAGCGCTCCAAGCAATACGTGCCCTCCACAACACCCACCACCAGGCTGGCCCAACCTCCCACCCCATGCCTCTTCAAAACCCTCAAATTGTTTTTCTTTTCTTTTTTTAATAATTTTTTAATTTTTTTATAAACATATAATGTATCATTAGCCCCAGGGTACAGGTCTGTGAATCGCCAGGTTTACACCCTTCACAGCACTCACCATAACACATACCCTCCCCAATGTCTATAACCCCACCACCCTCTCCCTATCCCCCTCCCCCTGGCAACCCTCAGTTTGTTTTGTGACATTAAGAGTATCTTATGGTTTGTTTTCCTCCCGATTCCATCTTGTTTCATTTATTCTTTTCCTACCCCCCAAGCCCCCCATGTTGCATCTCCACTTCCTCATATCAGGGAGATTATATGATAGTTGTCTTTCTCCAATTGACTTATTTTGCTAAGCATAATATCCTCTAGTTCCAGCCATGTCGTTGCAAATGGCAAGATTTCATTTCTTTTGATGGCTGCATAGTATTCCATTGTATACATATACCACATCTTCTTTATCCACTCATCTGTTGATGGACATCTAGGTTCTTTCCATAGTTTGGCTATTGTAGACATTGCTGCTATAAACATTCAGGTACACGTGCCCCTTCAGATCACTACGTTTGTATCTTTAGGGTAAATACCCAGTAGTGCAATTGCTGGGTCATACGGTAGCTCTATTTTCAACTTTTTGAAGAACCTCCATGCTGTTTTCCAGAGTGGTTGCACCAACTTGCATTCCCACCCACAGTGTAGGAGGGTTCCCCTTTCTCCGCATCCTTGCCAGCAAAAACCCTCAGATTGTTTTTCAGAGTCCACAGTCTCTCATGGTTCATCTCCCCTTCCAATTTCCCTCAACTCCCCTCTCCTCTCCATCTCCCCATGTCCTCCATGTTATTCCTTATGCTCCACAAATAAGTGAAACCATATGATAATTGACTCTCTCTGCTTGACTTATTTCATTCAGCATCATCTCATGTGTTGACTCTTTGCTGAAAGGCACACTACCTACGAAGTCCACAACCCAGCCAAGAACAGTCCCTCAGGTATCTGACCAGTGGTGATACTCTCTATGCAGAGCACTGCCTATCTTTCTCATGATTCTCTTTGAAACTTCCTTCAGAAAAGATAAGCTGAATATTTACAAATTTCAAAGAATATGCAAAAATATTGGCTACGGATGACATGAGGTCGATTTGACAGCTCTCTTCTCAGGGTATCAAAAGTTTATGGTAGGATGTGGGGTTAAAATGTTGAAAAGTTATTCATGTGGCTGAGGGAAATGTTAAGTGTAAATTCTAATTTTCTAATATAATTCTAATTTTTATAGTGTTCTTAACATTTACATAATTTTAGAGTAATTGAATAAAGTATCTTCCACATTTTATCTGCTAAATAATGATCAGATTTTGGACTAAATAAAGAGGTAGAGAAACAGAGGAGTTTAATGTGAGCGAAATGCTTTAAGACTTAAAAAGGCAATGTTTTTGCCAAATGTGGTGGAGTAAATAAATAACTATTTAAACTGGAAAGACATTTTAGGAGATGATGATCCACCAAACACAAAATTTATTTGAACCATATGGACCTGATTAATGTATCATATTAAGGTTTAGCAGGCCAAAATGGCTCAATCTGGAAAAGTTCAACTTTAATGCCCATTTACAACTATGATGTTTGACTCTTCCACCTGACATTTAAGCACTGTTGGAAAACTGTCTAAGTGCAAAGTGGGGGCACTGGGCTTATGACATTGTGAAATGTTAGATAATGGAATGAGACAGTTAACATAAAAATGTTCTTTTTAAAATAAGAGCTATTTTATTTTCTCAAAAGGAAGAACTTGTGACCCTGTGCTGGACTTACGCTATTAATCCCTCAACGGTTCTCAGTAATGCAGAGAAACCTTAACACGTGTGTCACTGTACACCATTCTCTCTTAATGTAATTTAACTATGTTGCTTATCAACTGCTAAATTTTGCTGGTCTAATATCCCCGTTCTAATAACCCAAGTTGGATTTTTGCCTTGCAGCCTGATCTAAGAGAACAAATTAACCCCCAATTATTTCCTACTCTTGGAGGATGTTGGGAAATCGTTTAGACTTCACCTACCTTCTGGTTTATTTTTTTCCGTTCGTCTGGTTTTGAAACTGTGTCTCTCTTCCATTCAGACATGTATGAAAGATTAACCATAGTTTTGAATATCAGAGAAAAACTACCTTCTAAAAAGTATTAGCTTGAGCATTTTTTATTTAAAATAGATTTTTGATGGGGCACTTGGGTGGCTCAGTCAGTTAAGCAGCTTCCTCCGATTCAGATCATGATCCCAGGGTCCTGGGATCGAGCCCCGCATGGGGCTCTCTGCTCAGCAGGGAGCCTGCTTCTCCCTTTCCCTCTGCTTGCCTCTCTGCTTACTTGTGCTCTCTATCTCTCTATCAAATAAACAAACAAACAAATAAACAAATAGTTTTTTGAGGTACACTATAGTGCAGGGTAGCTATCTGTTGTTTTTTTTTAACTTTTCCAGGTAGGAATGATAATTATTATATTTTCTAGAGTAGAAAATAATATGTCACAACTAAAGTATATATACCACAATGCTTAACCATTGGAATAATAATTAAGTAAATGTCAGGAAAAAAAATCTTAGAAGTTTGAGAACACAATTTATTTTATCACATTAAACCTGGTAAAAGTTTCAGAAAATTTTCTAAGTGTTGCTTAAAATAAAGATTAGGACCTAAGAGACATGAATTGTATAGAGAACAACCAAGGAAATACAGAAAATAATTTTTTCTTGACTTCTAGTTAGGATGCATCATTGAAGCTAAAATGTTGCTGGTAGAAAACCATACCTGAAGTTTGGATAGCTCCTGCATGGACGGCTGCTCAATCTGCAACTTGTCCCCACGCTTTTTTAATTCAATGATTCCTGCATCCAATTCCTTTAGCCCATCTTCAGCCTCTTGTATCGCCTATGTAAGATTTATGATACTTTATTAGAACTTCCATAAGCAATTTCCCTCACGAAATGTGATTACTGTTTGTTCTATTACTTCTATTATTATACTTTTATACTATTTGTTCTTCTCTCCACATTAAACATTTTCAATGTCTACAAAAGGAGTCATTTTAATACAGCATAAAAACCATGGCCATCTAATATACAGGAAAGAGAAGGAGGCCTTTTAATATACCGCAGTCAGCTACCTCACGGGTAAGGAAGTAGGAAGGACTTCACATGCAGGGCTGGGAGAACAATGGCTTCCTTAACCAAATATGGGAATTAGTAAATAGAAACACCTGAAAAAGAAGCGTGACTTAGGACATGGTTAGAAAAGGCACTGGCTTAGGATTTTTCTAGGGGAACATGTTCTGGTTTCCTGAGATGCATTTTGAGCATCCTGGGAGAGAGATTCAGTGAGGCAAGAGGAAAATATGTCACAGCATGGTCCTTTCCCTAAATCTCACACTTCCTTTAGAAAAGCAAGTGATAGGGGTGCCTGGGTGGCTCAGTGGGTTAAGCCTCTGCCTTTGGCTCAGGTCATGATCTCAGGGTCCTGGGATCCAGCCCCTCATTGGGCTCTCTGCTCAGCAGGAAGCCTGCTTCCTCCTCTCTCTCTCTCTCTGCCTGCCTCTCCGCCTACTTGTGATTTGTCTGTCAAATAAATTAACAAAATCTTCAAGGAAAAAAAAAAGAAGAAAAAGCAGTGATCAACAATTATTGAAGTGGCTGCTGGCACTAGGCCTCGTCTTCCCAGTGTGAGTTCCGTAGGAGGAGAACAAGGTCTTCTCCCGGCTTTCAAGGAGCCTAAAGTCTGGTTAGGAAGCCCGAGTAAACACAGCAAAACAAAACAGGGGTGAATCCAATCAGGTATACCAATCAGGAATACCAGTCAGGTATTCAGCTCGATGCAATTCATCTCTGTTAGAGGAGCCTGGACAAGAAATACAGGAGTGGATTCTGGGGTCGTCCAAGTAGACTTTTGGAAGAAACACAATCTCAGCTGCCCTGAAGGAGGAAAAGAACATGAACTCCAGATGGCAGATGAAACACATGTGTCTTATTTTCTCCTTCCCGAATCACCTCTACACCACAGCAAAAATTCTGTTTGCTTGCTTTTTGGTGTCCCTCCCGCCCATAAATCTACAAGGACAAAGAAACAGGAAAGAAAGCAATACCAACAACATTTTGAAAGTTGGAATTCAGAAGGATATGGGATAACTGACTTAAGAAATCTGAGAAAGCTGAATCCTAAGCTCACGGGAGATCTCCATCACCAGACTTACAGGAACAGGAGTCTGGCGCTCTGGGTGGGTAGGGTGGGTGCCAAGTAAGGACAGTTGGCAAAAAGCTTCTTAAAGAGCAGCGAAATTTCCAGAGCCTCTTTCTCACTCCACGTTACCCTTTTCCTTCTCTGGGAAAGATGGGGAGTTTATTTTCTAGAAAAGGTAAAGCAGACTCTGGACTGAGGGGCACCAGACAGAATTGCAGGATTGAGTACTTGACTGAAAACAGAGGATACGTGACTGAATGCCCACAGAATGCTAAATGAGGAGCCCTCACATATTCTAAGGTATTGGAGCGTGACCTCCGGTCTCCAGACAGGAGAGGAGAGAAAATGTAGAAAGACCAATAGAAAAATCTAAAAGCTGGACACAAAGATTCTCCAACAAATAGCCCACAGAGCCCAACATTCAGTAAATCTCAAAACCATCAAGCCACATCCATACACAAAGTTCCCATTTAGCTGTTTAGTTCTCGATCCTAAACGTGAACAGACAGCCAAAGAATTTCCATAATCTCAGAAAAGCCACTAACATGAAAAGATGGAGACGGAAACAAACAACTAAAAGCAGGCTGAAGGGAAACAGACTACATGGGAAAAATAAAACTTTGGCCAAAAAAATCATTAACATATGCAGATAGATTACAAAAGATAATGCATCTATTAGAAAAAGAACAGAATGCTACAAAAAAAGGATCATTCAGAGAACCAGAATGAGCTCAGGGAAAATGAAACTCATGACAGCAGAAATATAAAACTCAGTAGGAAAGTTGAGAGTTGAAATAAAGGAAGTCTTCCAAAAAATAGAGTAGACTGTCTCTTGATAAAATAATTAGAAGACTGGACCAGGATATCCAACATCTGCCTAAAAAGAGTTCCAGAAAGAGAGACAGATAAAATGGAGGACTGAAAAATATTAAATCATTAGACAATTTTCCGAAATGGAAAGAGGAGAGCTACCAAATCAAAAAAACAGCTTACCGAACCTCCAGCCCAGTGGATAAAACTGACCCTTCCCAAGGTATATCACTGTGACATTTCATACCACTGTGGGAATTAGAATGATTTTAGATTCCTCAAGCCAACACCAGAAGCTAGGAAACAATGAGGTGCCTCAAACCTCCACAGAAAACTGATTTCCAGGCAGGAATTTTACAGTGAGCCAAGTTACCAAGAAAGAGCGAACACAGTATAAGATCATTTTCAGATAGGCAAAATACTAAAAAATACATCTAGCATGCATCCTTTCTTAGTAAGGATATGTAACAAAACAAGGAGGCAATATAATAAAGATGGACTTGAGACTCAGAAAAGAGAAGATCCAACAGAGAGAGAAGTGATGGAAATTCTCAGAATAGTGGAAAAGGGAGAGATCCCTGGAAGTCAGCTCAGCACCAGGCTCGTGGGGACAAGTCTGTTCTAGATCAGAATGACATCACTCAAAAGATGAATATATTGAGAAGTATCATCCTTGTGTCTCCTGCTATTATTACCTTTTTAACCCAATAAGGGTAGGGGTGAAATTAGCACCTTTTTTTTGGTGCTTTCTATTTATTCAGAGAAAGAGTCTAGCTATTTATTTTTATCTGTGGGAATCATTTTAGTGATCCTGGTCAATAATTAGTAAAAATGTTACTTGTGATCATACATACATATTCTATATTTCACCTCAGAAATTCAAGGCAAATCATCGCTACAGCTGCTGAAGTCTTTTTTGGAATCAGGCATGTTAAAATCTTGGATATTAAAATCTAAGAATAAAAAAATCCAAGAATAAAAAAGTAAAAATTTTTTAAAAAGTTCCGTTCAAGTTTAATTTTCAACATAGAAGAATGTTTTTTTAATTTGGGGGAAATGAGAGATTTGTTTTAAAAAGCAGATGAAATTATGGTCAAGAAAAATAAATATTCACATAATTACACAAATTATTTTAGGTAATTTTACAGATGGATGGATAGACAGAATGATCTCTATTTCTATCTAGAGTAATATATCAGGGGATTTCTATCACAGATGATTCTCTATAGCCTACTCATAGAACCCTTAGAGGTCTACTGAAATTAAGAAATTCTATTAAAACACATAATTACTTAGCTTGGGAAACAGGAGATATTATGTGTAACATCCTTCCCATTTCATCTCTCCCCCCTGTTTTCAATGACATCACTGGAGTTAGAATTCTTTTTCCTTCTCCTCAGTGCAGCTACAAGAAGCCTCTAGAGGCATATCCTGCTTCCTGACCTGGCACGGTCTTGTCCGGGAAGCAGGGCCGGGCACTGACACTCATTCTCACCTTCAAACCCCGGGGACTCTGCACTGCCAGTGGTCTCCAAGGTGAGTGCAAGGACCCGCGTGTATGAGATGACTGGTGAGGATGAAACACTACATTTTTCCTTTATATTCAACCACATTCTTCTGAATTTTCATTTGTGTATATGCTTTATAACAAAGTACCTGCTTATAATTCATAAATAAGCAAATATACATATACTTGTGGGGTGTGCTTATTCTTTTAAACTAATGAGATATGCCATCAACAAAGTTTAGAAACCACTGGTTTGTGGAATAAAGTCTAAATTTCTCTGACATTCAAAAGGCCCCACAAGTTGACTCAAATGTACTCACCCAAACTTACTTCCCCTCAATTGTTTTCATTCATCATAAATTCAGCATTTAGCTAAATAAGGATAACTTGCTTTTCTAAGATATATTTGTAGATATAGCTCCTGTATTATCTAAGGATACCTTGCTTTTCTCTGGAAGTGCTCTGAATTGCCTACCACTTAAGCCTTTGTTCATGTTGTCCTCCTGACTTGGATATCTTTCTTCCCAGTCTCTGTGTGTCCAAACTTCTCAGTCTGGTTCCAATTTTCTTTTACAAAATTTCCCCGGATCCTACCTCTGCTGGGGGCAGTTGGCCCTTCTTCTGAATGTCCATAGGGCTTTATCTGTATCACCCCAGGACAGTCTGACTGTCTGCCCTGCGTCCCTGAGGCTCCTGTCTAATCTCAGTGTTAGGTGGCAAACTTCTTCATGTTATCATCTGCCGCTGACACCTTTACCTATCTTCTAGTTCTGTACAGAGAGAAGTGACGGATTCCATGTCGCCTGGCCCGTCACTCAAACATGACACTTAGAGACAAAATGTATGACAAACAAAAATGTTATAGCAAGGGGTGACTGGGTGGCTCACTGGGTTAAGCCTCTGCCTTTGGCTCAGGTCATGATCTCAAGGTTCTGGGATCGAGTACCGCATCGGGCTCCCTGCTCAGCAGAAAGCCTGCTTCCCCTTCTCCCTCTGCTGCTCGCCCTGCTCATGCTCTTTCTCCTTTTCTCACTCTCTGTCAAAAAAATAAATTCTTTAAAAACAATGTTAGAGCAAGCCACTAATCTTTTATAGACTATCTGAAATCTCCTACCAAATCAGAACAACTCGATGCATTTGCTCTTCTAGAAAAAGCGGGCTGTAAATACCTCTATTTGCTCTGCCACAGGCTGTTCAAACACATTTGCCAGTTTCTGCAGAATGATGAACTTGTTGTCAGCCAGCGATGTGCACAGCACCTTCAGATCATTCTAAAGAGGAAAAAAAGAAGAAGACTTAATATGAGTAACCGGGAATTCAGAATGGTTGTAAGTATAACACACATCCTGAGAAATAATATATTGTTGTAGGAATTTAATGTCCAGAAGAAACAATATTGTCCTGGGAAAAGGAGAAAGGAAGTGGTGACAATTTAAGTGTTAAAACTGACTTTTGAAGAATTTGTTACAGAGAGCGTTTTTTAACACAATACAAATGGTGACGAAGTATACAAATAGAAAGCAATGCTAGTCACCCTAATCTTGTTGATATGTTTGAAATCAATGCACACATTTAAACACTGCACTGGAAATACTACACTAATGACTTCTATTTAATCAAACAACCTACAGCTGCTACACTTACTTGGGAAAAAATAGGATTCTTTTATTTCATTTCAAGTTATTTTGTATTTTTTACTTTGCATGTAAGTCCAAATATTATTTAAAACTATCTTAAATTTAACAAAAAATGTGATTCTTAAGAAGAAGAATATAATTCCTTTTTTCCTCTCCCCTCATTCCCTCTCTCTCATACTTCCTTTTCTCTATTTTCAGAGAATTTGCCCAAGCTTATAAAAAGCCACCCAGAAGTGCAGAAAATAAATTTTATCCATGATGACCAAAGACATATGAAGAGACATCACAAAAAGACCTAGCAAAGCCTTTTGTTCATAAAGATCTCTCACTTAAAAGTCCAAATATATTTATATTGAGTTATGTCTATACAAAAAAAAAGTTAACTATCGGAATTTTGGTCCTCAGTTCTACAGGAAATAATGAACTAGAGCAAAATTTGAATGATATAATTCCCAGTTTTTCCCCCTGAAATGTCAGTAAACATATATGACGGGCTGGCTGTTCAGTGGAAGCTGAAATTTGACTCATCACATCCTCTTCACTGGGGGCTGCTGATACATACACAAGGACACATCATCAAGATGCAAAAATCTGTCTACCTACAAGGAGAAGGATAATCACACCCAAGAAGAAGAAAGCATCTTTAAGGATGTATGCCAGCCCTTTAACACAAAATGCAAGTCTAGAAAACAAAACACTGGGTGAATTATGCAGTAAAATAAGAAAAAAGGAAAAGAAAAAAATTGCACATGAACATTAGAGAAAAGCACATGATCCAACAGGGCAATAACCGTCATTAACCAAAATGCAAACCAGTCTGTAAGCCTCGCTGCAGATTCACTAGGAAACTGTTGTAACAGTCCTGGAGAAATGCTGCCAGAAGCAAGGTTTTTGCTGATGAATTACAGCAACGTTTGTATTATTCAACTGTGCTCACGTGAGGCCATGTGGGCCGTTAGAACGATGACATATTTATCTGTTTGTATGCCTAGGAAAAGATGTTTCCATTCATTTGAACAAATTCAAAAGAAAAAGTCTCTACTAGAGACATATATTTAGAACATTAATTCAGTTCATCTAAATGAGTAGATAATTCTAAATAATATATCATGGGTTAGAAATGAAGATCGTGGGGGCGCCTGGCTGACTCGGTTGGAAGAGCATGTGACTCCTAATATTGCGGTCATGAGTTGAAGCCCGATGATGGGTATAGAAATTACATATACAAATAAATAAACTAAAAAAGAAAGAAAGAAGAAAGATTGTAGATATATTTCCTGTACATCATCTTTATTTTTTAAAAAACATATTTTCTGTCTTAATTATATTCTACTCAAGGTAATAGAAAACAGAGTTCACATTTCTGGAGGTCTCACTAATTATTGGAAAGGACCAGTCAAGAAGACACTAAAGCCAAGAATACAACTAATTTAAAAATTACTAAGCAAGAGATTTGAGAGGTGTTAATAACCACATGGATGTTGGTACTTTATTTTTTTTAAAGATTTTATTTATTTATTTGGCAGACAGAGACAGCAAGAGAGGGAACACAAGAAGAGGGAGTGGGAGAGGGAGAAGCAGGCTTCCTGCTGAGAAGGAAGCCCGATGTGGGACTCCATCCCAGGACCCTGGGATGCTGATCTGAGCCGAAGGCAGATGCTTAACAACTGAGCCACCCAGGCACCCCAATGTTAGTACTTTTTTAAAAAAGATTTTATATATTGAGAGAGAGAGGACGTGCATGTGTACAAGCACAAATGGGGGGAGGGGAAGAAGGAGAGGGAGAGGCACAAGCAGACTGCCCACTGTGTGGGGAGCCTGAGGTGAGGCCTCATCCCAGGACCCTGAGATCATGACCTGAACTTAAGTCAGATGCTTAATGAACTGAGCCACCAAGGCACCCCATGGATGTTGGTATTTTCTTAAAAATGAAAATCCAAAGGCTTTAACTGTTTTTTGTTACTATGCATATGACACAGCAGGATAATTAAGGTGTCTCCATATTACACAAATATCAGAAATCACAAATTTTATCATATGGTCACTGGCACTGCTTGTAGGGCATAAAGAGGCAGGATTCTTGCTTTTTGAGAAACAGGTACATCAAAGGTTTCAACTTTTTGAATCATCTGTGCTGTCTCACTCATTTAAAAAGAATTCTTTCTTTTTTTTTCAGTTTTTAAATAAGTTAAAATGCCCAATCATAAAAATGTCCAGTAAATTTATTTGGGATAAAGTCTCTAGGTAAAAACTTTTTTAATAGAATAACTAATGATTAACTTCTTTTGATTCCATGGAGATAATATACATTTACATAACATCAACATGTTCTTCAAGATTCTCTGCTGGGTAGAGGATAATGTTAACAGTCTGGGAAAAGCTAATACTCCAAAGTTAAGTGGAAGACAAAGGCATACCACTCCATTAACTACTGAGCATGGACAGCATACCAGGTGCTTGGTGCAAAGTAAAATAAAATGGTTTACGACTTGACCTTTAATTATATTAACATTGGAACTATTTCTTTCAACTAAATTGGAACACAAACATTTTGAAATGTCAGTTGCTATCCGTGAGCTGGCCACCAACAAGTAGAAACTTGTTGGCAGAAGAAAAATAAAGAACGTGATTTAAAGACAATTTCATGATTGTATGTTCTTCTCTTGGTCCTCTACAGAAAATCAGTTCCAGAGTATTCATGCTTTGTTCATATTTTACTCTGACTGGTTATAATTACTAATAAAAACTTAAAAGGGCTGAAGACACTAGCATAGTAAATGCAATTTGTAAAGGGAAATACGCTTCTAAGTGATACAAACATTTGTACCTTTAACCCCCCCGCCCCATTCACGGCTGATAGACCAACTAGAATGCTGTTAAAGCATTTATTTAATGCTGTTAAAGCACATATTTTATGAAAGGTGGATTTTAGAGTAATGACACACATTTCCATCAATTGTACAAGTGTTGCTGATTTTAGACAGATGGTGTATATGTGGGCATGCGATCAGATCTTGCATCCAAAACAAAATACCCAAATAAGAACCCCAGCTTCTCTGATTCCAAGTGAAATGTGCTTTCCTCTCTATGAGCTCTACAACCTAACCTCTACAGATACAAATACCTGGTCTAGGTCATTCCCTGAAGCCATAGTCATGCATATCCAAATGTCTACTCTGAGTAGTCAGCTGAGTATCTTAACTCTACAGAGTATCTTTGTTCGTCCAGCCTAGCCTATGGGTCAATGGCACTGCTCTGCGCCAGGCCTGTCAGCTGGGGTCTCTGGACTTCCTCAGCAGTGTCCTTTTCTCTCATTCCTCATATCCAACCCCCACACAAATCTGCTCTTGTTGATTTTACTTTCAAAATACATCGTGAAGAGGTCTACTATTCTTCATCACCCCTGGTAGCACCCTAATGACATAAAATATAAAAATATTCTTTGAGTCTAATCCCGGCCCTAGTTCTTGATGGCTAAATAATCTTAGAATTAATTTAACTTTTATATTGGTTTCAGATTCTGTATGTTATAATGAATACTCCTATTAATAGTGACAATGATAACAAAACTGACTGAGTACTTACTATGTTTCAGACATCGTTCGAACTATTTTACACATTTTAACTAATTTTATCCCCTCAGAACCCCTGGAGACCACAGCATGAGTGTTACTCTAATAAGCCTTAGAGACACAGCTAAGGGTATAAGGTAGCAGGGGACAAAGCCAGAATTTGAACCCAGGAGGGATGGTTTTGGAGGCTGCTCTTAATTTTTGCAAAATGAATATCAGAACAATGCTTAGCTAAGAGGTATGTCGTGAAGATTAAAGACAATAATACAGGTGAAAATTCTTTGTGAATAAAAAAATGCTACATAAGTTATTCTAACTTTACTTTGTAGTTTTAAGAACACAAATTACTGAACGGCAGGGATGATCTGTCCCTTTAGACGAATATCTAGGGAATTCCACATTTCTTGGCTGATGCTACATATGACACTTTAACAGTATTTTTTACAAATCAAAAATTTATATCAAACTCGGTCCAAATTACATGTTATCTATTTTATAAATCTGATACATTTGTTAAAAATAAAACTCAATTAGGAGCTCCTAGGTGGCTTAGTTGCTTAAGCGTCTGACTCTTGATTTCAGCTCAGGTCATGATCTCAGGGCTGTGAAATTGAGCCCTGCATCAGGCTCTGTGCTGGGTGTGGAGCCTGCTTGGGATTCTCCCTCTTCTTCTGCCCCTCCCCTCATCTCTCTCTCTTCCCTCTCTCTATAAGTAAACAAACAAACAAATAAATAAATAAATAAATCTCAATTAAAACTTAAGCATTCCCAAAAGGTGACTTTTATTAGGAATGTAAATCAACTCAAAGTTTATCAGTAGCAGGTGCCTGGGTGGCTCAGTGGGTTAAGCCTCTGCCTTCAGTTCATGTCATGATCTCAGGGTCCTGGGATTGAGCCCCACATTGGGCTCCCTCCCTGCTCAGCGGGGAGCCTGCTTCTCTCCCTCTCTCTCTCTCTCTCTCTCTATATATATATATATATAGAGAGAGAGAGAGAGAGAGAGAGAGAAAATATGGTGGGAGGCAGAGGGAGAGAGAGAATTCCAAGTAGACTCTGCCGAGAGTACAGAGCCTGAAGTGGGGCTCCATCTCATGACCCTGAGATCATGACCCAAGCTAAAATCAAGAGCCGGATGGTTAACTGACTGAGCCACCCAGGTGTCCCAATCGTGTATGTTTCTAATGCAGGCAGAAGCAGGCCATAGTCACTCTCAGTGGCCCATGGGCACTAGAGTCTAGGGTCCTGTATTGTGGCACTTCCCACATATTTCTTTGGTCGTATGTTTTTAATAAATTTTGGTCATATGTTTTAAATTCCAATTATCAATTGAAAGTTATAATTATAGTCATATAACTTACTGGTTGAATTTAACGTTGTATTCAGCCCTTAGTTTACTTGGTTGGTTTTCTCAACCCTTCATTTCTAGGAACATAAGCCTCTTAGTCTCCTCATCCTAGGGTTCTAGTCCCTTCTTTTTCTATAATGTTCTTGCTCTTCATTGTACTTTTGAAAAAAAAAAATAGGTCTATGTCATACCTCAGTAAGATACCCTGCTTGTTACTGAATATAGCTAGAGGATTATCAACCATCTCTTGATGATGTCTTACCTGGAAATTCAGTATTTGCTGAAGTCTTTCCTTCATCTGATGACAGCGCTGATTTACTACTGAGTCTAGCAAGGACAACCTGCCCAAAAGACAACCCAAAGTGTCTTCAATGACATCCCGGTTATCACCATTCTCTGGAAATGCTTGAGAAAACAAGTTCCTGTTCTTATCCATTTCTTCAGACATTTCTTTAATATCTTTGGCAAGAGTCTAGGGTTGATAAAAGAGAAAGCACATTTCAGTGCTTGGATCTATGAATCTATATACACATCAAGTCATTTCCTCAGAGAAAGCCCACCATATCTCTCTTACTACTCAGTGGTAACTATATATATATATATATATATATATATATATATATATATATATATTTGTGGATTTGTGGAAGTGGACCCACTTCCACAAATATTAGGCAAGTTGCTGCTGGAGAGATTTTTCTCAGAAATTTTACATCATTAGCTAATAATGATATGTATTTGGTGAAAGGTAAGATTTGTAAAGGGCTATTTAGAAACTCTAATTTTTAGCCTATGTTTCAAAGAAAATTTGCAATACACAACAAGTTTCTACAAAGAATCCTCCATTTTTTTCTTCCTCCTACATACACAAGATAGAGGATAAAAATGCAAAACATGAGTATCTCTGGGAGCTTTTTATATCAGGCAGTTCACTTTTGTATTATGCAGCTTAGAAATATACCTAATTTGTACTTTATTAGAACTGTTTTATGTTGCCCTTCCTTAGACATTAATTATCCAACACCAAAATTTCAAGTGCTTTGTAATATCACATACTCACAGACACCAGCTGCCAATCTTACCTCTTGGTTGAAGAGGCAAGCTTCCGTTTCTTCTGGTAAAAGTGCTGTGGCAACAAATAAACGTTCCTCAACATCATCCAACCATGTAGAGGTAGCTGAGACCCCATCATACAACTTCTGTTCCAAGTGAATGTTCTGCCTTTTCGTTCCCCCACCCTGAGAAAAAGGGAGAGCATAGAATTAATTATAGTGTTTTGAGGACTCAAAGAAAAATACCAGGATGAGATGTGAGGGTCCAGTGGCTCTGCCCTTCAGGGCTAATCACGAGTGCTGGGTCTCGACCAGTCATGCCCAGACACTGAACAGCTTCATGGAGACCAAGATCCATAAGGAAGCTAAGAGTGCAGCCTACCTGAGATGAAACCTCCTCAAAGGCCTGGTTCAATCCATCCAGCAAAGATGTCACTGCAGATCTGTCTTGGGTCTGTCCATCTCCTTTGTATAGTGGCACACCAGACAGGAGTCGATTCGGCCTGCTGTAAAGCTGTAGGCAAACAGGCACACTTATTTAACAGCATATGTACTCTGTTTCGGTATCATCATCTAGAATTACATATTGAAGCACATGCTGGAGAAAGTGTCCTTATAAAAAGCTCTTCTAGAGAAATATGACCTCTTTGATAGACCATGTCCACTAAACATGGTGACCAAATTCAGCGATGGTAATGTTTCCACTGATGGACTTAAAAAAACAAAGTGGTGGGGAAAATGCTTGAACTCTATCACGGTCTTCCTCTCAACTTGTTTTCCTGGTTTTAGACTATCCATGATGAAATCATCCATCCTAGATACCAGATGTAGACTGATCCCTATGCTTTCTTCATTCACTCAACCTCCCCTACACTCTTGTAGGCACACACAATGCCTGATAAAGACCATGGTGTTGCTTAGCCCTCTGACTTTTGAAAGATGTTTCCCATCAAACTCAGTTCCTATAATTTATAAAATGTCTCATTCTCACTTTGCCTTTTAAGCTGATTACTCATTATCCTCTAAACATGCCCAACTCATTTCCCACTGTAACTAGAACACCCACAACATAACACCTCTTTAAAATCCACTTCCTTAAATTCTACACCTACTACCAGTAAACAAAACTGTCAGGAAAGTAGTATGAAAAAGGAGGGACTGTGGCGTTGGACAGACCCGCGTCCAAATCTCAGTTTTGCCTCTTCTTAGAAACAAGACCCTGAGAAATCATCTAATTTCTCCAAGCCTTAGTTTACAGATCTACAAAGCAGAGGTAATGTCACCCTCGCCACAGTGTTGTTAGAAATAACACCTAGAACACAAAATATGTTCAATAAATGATCATCACCCTTTCTTCTTGGAAACTCTCACAGCCAAATTGCTTCTTCCTCACCTTTTGTCTCATCTCATCACGCCAAAGAGAAGAAAACCACCTCAGAGGCACTTTGTACAAATGACTAGTGATTATGGAAAGAAAGCACTCAAATGCAAAAAAAGGCCATAAAATAAAGAACATTTGATGTTTTCCATTTCCAATTCCAAAGGGCAATGAGCTATGGACCTGAACCTAAATTTTAATAGTCCGGGGTTCACAGAAGCTTGTCAGCGGCAGCAGGCAGGGCTCTTGTGGTAGGCTCCCATGAAGGATGCTGGGGTTACAGCACAGCATTGACAGAAGACATAGCTCTCTTAGATGAGGGTGATCATGGATGAGACACCCAGGAAGTCTGCAGTGCTGCATGAACCACTCAGATGCTCTAGGCCGGAGGACAACAGGTGGACTCCAGGGGATGAGCATTTAGCTGATAGAGAATATTTGCTGATTATTACTAGAAACGCCTTGGATTTATCTGACCTAGGATAGTCACAGAAGACCGCAGTTCCTGATGTAGGACGGTAAATATCCCTTATAGTCAAAGGAATGGGGAATACTAGAACATGAAGGTGAGCTAGTGGCCAAGTCTGGGAGACCCACCTCGGAAATCAAGAATTCAGACTATGAGTCTAAATGTTTGCTCGGAATGTGGAGAAAGATTAATTCAAACAGGTAGGAAGTCCATGCGGAAGCTACAAGGCACCACGTGCCACGGTGGTAGAGGATTCTGGAATAACTACCTCCAAGAATGGAGTGCTCTATGCTGCCCAGGGCCACTGCTGGTGGCTATGCATGTGGACAGTGACAAAGAAGGATCCTGGTCAGAGCAGGAGAGGAGTGAGAAAGGGTGGCATGCGCAAGATTCTGTAAAATGAGAGACACGCATGGCTCCGGCACTGATGCATGGCTCCCCACAGATAAGGGGACACATTGTGACCTTAGGACTGTCTCCTTTTCAGGTAGTCCTGGCAAGCTGTATCTGCTTTCTTTATAGAGCCTGCTCTGCCAGTTCCTGCCTTTCACACCTCAGATGCACTCCAGTTACTGACATCCTTCCACTCCTGGGTTCAGCCTCTCTCAGCACCGAAGCTAGCCCTAGTCAGATCAGTGAGAGAACAGCAGCTGCCTCAGATCCACAGTAAAGGACCTCAACTGTACTCTGATAACACTACTGTCACAGAATCACTGAGATGAGCACTTTGGGGCCACAACCCAGGACTAGACTTCTATCTTCAAAATCCTGCTGGGTCACAACTGTGATAAACATCGCAGGCCAGCTGGGTTCCCACCTCATGCAGTAGCTCTCTATGGGGTTGATTCCTCCGACCCTCAAATATTCTCTGGCTTCTGCTTATAGTGAGCTAATAGTTATTATCTACCTAGAACCTTCTGTTGCTATATTCATTTCCATTGGATTTGGCTTGCTTTGTGGAAACAAGTCCAACATCACACAGTACTTGCCCATCTCAGGAACAAGCTTACAGATGGGCCAGTAACTATTCTAGCTGGCCACTGACTTCCCCTTCCTTTTAGATCCACTGAAGTCCCAACATGTTTCTCATTAAGATCTTCTGAAGCTATTAAGTACTGGAAATAGCAATGGAAAATAAGATAACTTGACAATTTACTTCTAGTAAAGTAATCAAATCTGTTGCGTTTCTCTTGTCCTAGATGCATATATTCTTGACTTCTAACCTTTATTTTCAAGATTGTGAAAAAAAAAGGGGAGCCGTTAATGATCTATGCTAATGAGTCATCAGATAGTAATCATCTCTGAGGAAAAGAGTATCTAGAAATCAAATGAATTTACACATATAAATATATAATTATTAAGGGAAACATGAAACATGCTTGCTAAGAAAAATATAAGATGAATGATTTCTTTAATGTCTTATACTTGAATTGATAATGAAATTATAGATTACTGCACAGATATATTCCATTAGCATAAGCTATACACCTTTTATATTAGTTAGTATATAAAATCAAAATGTTTGGATACCACTTGCTCCTGTTCCTGTTCCAGAACATTCTGTAGTAGCTTCTGCTTGGTACTAAATTCTTGATGTAGGCTTTCCCATTTCATTCTCATCTGGTCTTCAGCAGCTGATTTCTCCCCTTTCATCCCCAACTCCTGGGATAACACATCAGGTTTTTCGCTATTAGAAGAATAAATAATCTAAGTTTACAATGTGTGCAAAAAAGCATTAAGTTCTAGGTAACTTACTGTATGTACTAGATCTGACCTCTAAGATTGGAACTAGATTATTTTAGTCATTAGCTTACACTTTCAAACTATCAATTAAATAGAAAATTTGAGACCAACTATAAACAAATATATTCTTAACTTATACCGTAACTGAACTATGAGGACAGTAATGATTTAACAATTCATTGAAAATAGCTCAGTATTAAAGATATAAGGTAATTTTAACATTTACAATCAGAAAATGTACAATTAGACTAGAGTCCTTCAACAAACAGCCCACAGAATAATTAAAAAACCTTAAAAATTCCACTTAGTCTACTGAGAGCTTTTATCCTGAGTCCAGAGAAAATGCTACAGACAAGGTCAGGACGTGGAACAGAAGTACAGAGGGAGAAAGGAAGGCACTGAGTATCATCCTTATTAAGGCAGCAGGGTGGCATCAAAGATTATGGCTTTGTGGGTGAGACAGATCTGGGTTGGAATCTCTGCCCCAGCATATTAGATCTATGACTTTGAGTAATTTGCTTCAATTCTCTGACCCTCAATTATCTCATCTTCACGATAAAGATAGTACCTATCTTGCAGAAGTATAAGAATTTAGAGAAGATATGCACAATGCCTAGAACCCTACCAGGAACATAATAGCCAATTGATAAATGGGGTCTAATGGTAAGAGTCTGGGGGATCCAAGTTCCAAATAGATCCTAGTTTGTAAAGACTTTTAAAGGGCTAACTAGAGGGATGCCTGGGAGGCTCGGTCAGTTAAGCATCTTCCTTCAGCTCAGGTCATGATCTCATGGGTCCTGGGATAGAGCACTGGCATATAGGACTCCCTGCTCAGGGGAAGTCTGCCTCTCTCCCTCTACCACCTTCCCTGCCCCAGCCTGTTTATGCTCTCTCTCTCATATAAATAAATAAATAAAATCTTAAAAAGTAATAATAAAATTTAAAGATTTAAACAAAATCTTTAAAAAAAATCTAAAAAAAAGACCTAACTAGAACTATGTCATCTGAAAGACATACCACATTGTAATTAACATTTCGACAGAACTTTTGCTTAAGTGAAAAAAAAAAAAAGTTCATTAGCAGAATAATAGTATACACTACCCTGAAGTCTACTCATCTCAGAAATATTGAGTACAATAGTTTCCTCAGGTAAGCCTGCTGAAGTAAGTCTTTAAAAATTATCTATAAGGCTATAATGCAGGATATGCTACTTCTAGGATACAACTTAGAGAATCTCCCCAACCTGCTCAGTTAGAGAGATGCAGGAAGGTTAATGTCAGCAACGCTGGTAATAGCAAAAAAAGAGAAAAAGTGGAGCAGGTTAATGCCCATCAATTAAAAAAAAAAATGGGTGAACAAGTTATTGTCACAAGATAAAATACAATTAATCACTTAAAATGAAAGAACTCGATATATATGTATTAACATGGATTGGTTTTAAAAAGTAATAGCGGTCAATATACAGAAATCAGTTGCTTTCTTATACACCAACAATGCAAATATAGAGAGGGAAATTAGAGAATCAGTTCTACTTACTATAGCACCAAGAACCATAAAATACCTTGGAATAAACCTAACCAAAGAGGTAAAGGACCTGTACTCAAGGAACTACAGAACGCTCATGAAAGAAACTGAAAAAGACACAAAAGGATGAAAGAGCATTCCACGCTCATGGATAGGAAGAATAAACATTGTTAAAATGTCTATAATGCCTAGAGCAATGTACTTTCAATGCCATCCTGATCAAAATTCTACTGGCATATTTCAAAGATCTGGGACAAACAATCCTAAAATTTGTATGGAACCAGAAAAGACCCCGAATTGCTAAGGAAATGTTGAAAAAGAAAAACAAAACTGGGGGCATCACGTTGCCTGATTTCAAGCTTTACTAAAAAGCTGTGATCACCAAGACAGCATGGTACTGGCACAAAAACAGACACATAGACCAGTGGAACAGAGTAGAGAGCCCAGATATGGACCCTCAACTCTATGGTCAAATAATCTTTGACAACAGGAAAATATATCCAGTGGAAAAAAGACAGTCTCTTCAATAAATGGTGCTGGGAAAACTGGACAGCTATATGTAGAAGAATGAAACTCGACCATTCTCTTACACCATACACAAAGATAAACTCGAAATGGATAAAAG